GCGAGTATAAGTAAGTAAAGATTAAAATCCGCTGAGTCAACCCGATATCGCCGTCAGTCTTTTTGCCCCGCGGGAAGTCCCGCTTAGTAGCGGATTCCGGGGTGCAAGAAACGTAAATTGCAATGCCTTCATCTTTGTTTGATTTAAAGGAAGAGATAGCCGTCAATAGCCTTATATTTTTGGGCATGTGCTGGTTGATGAACAGCCTGTGAGATACGTTATTGATCTCATCTTGGACTAAAGTCTAAAGGTCAGCATGAAACGTCATCGGAGGTCTGCTGACACACATTATGAACGCACTATATTCTCAAGAGGATGAATATGAGTTTTTTTATTGTGTAGCACTCTATTCGAGGGGAGTTGATGATGGCTCGTGGTGTGTTGTTGGGAATACTTGGAAGAGGGGGATGTGCAATGATATATAGTGGGCTGAGATATATACATCAATGTAAGATGACATCTTTTCTATAACAACATTTATGAATATTATTGTTGGCTTTCTAGAGACGTATTCTCAATGTCGCTATTAATATTCCAACGTAGAAGAGCATAGTTATAACTAAATTCTTCCAAGGTTTATTGTAGGGTGTGCTCCAATTATACCAAGACGAATAACTACATCTAGGAAATGTACTTGAACAGGATAAAATCAAGGATAACAAAAGGAGACGCCTATTGATCTAGCCATAACTTCTCAGATATTGTTAAAGCTCTTACCTCAATCTATCCTTTGACATATATTTCCAGCCTATGAAGATAAAGACGCTTGAACTCGATATTGTGCTACACAATCCAGCTTGTCTCCGTACCGAGACACAGGAAAATAACCCGACACTGACCTCATGTGCATGCACACCTAAGGAATATAGACCGAAGTTGGTACATATCCCAATGGTACCCCGCGCGAAATATCTGTACTACATGGACCTGGACAGCTTCAATCCACATTCTCTTCTGTGCTTCCCACCAGATCAACCTCATACTTTATTCAATTCAACAGATAGAGCAGGCAGTGTGCGTTGTTTCCTTACCAATATGACCTCTCAAACCGTAGCTGGTGATTCTGTTTTGCAGAAGTTTCGGCTCCCAACCATCGTCCAGCCACTTCACAATAGCATCCCCCCAGAGCTGCTCCCTCGGTATGATCCAATCTACGTCGCATACTATAATGCATTCAATGTTGGGCGGCTACATACACACGAGATCCCAATTGAAGAGTTTCGCAAGAACCCTGCCCGTTATACCATTTCTTATGGCCGAGCTCCTGGCCCTGATATTTTCCGCATCACAGAACAGAAATGTCCTGTCGATGGCGGCGAAATCACCATACGAATATTTGAGCCAGTGCCCCAGCCTGACGCCGAGGGTCAGCCAAAGAGGAGAGCAGCCTATATCAATTTCCATGGTGGTGGGTGGGTGTTTGGTGGACTAGGGTACGACCACGATTTCTGCAAGCGAGTTGTCCATGGTCTGGACGGGGACCTGGTCGCATTTGACGTAGACTACCGGCTGGCCCCGGAGCATAAGTATCCTATTCCAGTGAATGATTGCTGGGCCGCTTTCAATTGGGTAGGAACATCCTCGGCCAAGACCTTGGATAAGAACCAACTGCTAACGAGGCAACGGCTAGATTCGCTCCCAGAAAGCGACTGAGTTCAACCTAGACCCAGATAGGTTCGCAGTGGGCGGCGCGTCAGCTGGAGGCCAGCTTTCGGCTGTCATCAGCCATCTCTGCCGGGATGTAAATATTCCTCTGCGCTTGCAAGTCTTGACCGTGCCAGTGACAGACTTGCACCGTGTCTTCACTCCTGAAGGTGAGTTTGACCGCGAAGGTTGTCCCTACGACTCGTACCGGGAGATGGAGTTTGCGCCGGCGCTACCGGCAGCGCGCGTGGCATATTTCCACCGACAATTTCTAGGAGTTCCTCGACCGGCGGCGTCTAATGAGGTAAGTTCAGAGATGAAGTAATTATAAATGTGATGCTCATTTGTCTAGGATTGGAAGATATCGCCCATTCTCGCACCGAACTTCCAGAACTTGGCCCCTGCGTTGGTGTCTACGGCGGAATTGGATCCGCTGCGCGACGAAGGAGAGGCGTATGCAGCTAAGCTTCAAGCTGCTGGGGTATCTGTAGAGGTAGACCGAATCGAAAGTGCTCCACATTTAGTCGCTGTACTCGATGGAATTCTGGAGGGAGGTCGGCGATATAACGAGAAGGTGATTGCGACAATGAAGCGGCAGCTCCAAGGGATGAGAGTTCAACCCGTAAATAAATAAATACGATAGTACCAAACCAAAAAATACTAATATTACCAAATAATACAAGCCTCACTACTGAAGAAACCGTCTCCCTTCGGTCCTACCGATACCGGGAAATTTCGGCTGGGGACTCGGAGAGTCTAGCTGACCTCAAATTTGTGACTTTTCTTTTAAGAAGACCAATCCTCGATTTCACTTCCCATAGAAGCTTTAGAAGCTTGGTGTGAGCCTTTGTATACCCTCTTTGGTACATCTAACCCAATTGTCACACAATGAATCCCACTTCCTCCCGAGCCGCGGTGCGCTCTATGGCCACCCTGACACATGCGGCCAGAGCCACCCCCGCAGCTCGCAACCTTTTGTCGCCCTTTGCTACCCGGTCTCTGAGCTCTAATACCCGTCAATCCGCTCAGTTCCCCCGACTTCAATCCTTGAACACTTTTTCCAACAAGCGAGCCTTTGGAACTACCGTCAGGATGGTATGCTGTTTCGAGAGCGCGGACAAATTCAGAACTGATGGGTGTGATCTAGTCTGTTGACGCTCGTACTGAGAGCGATGCCTTTGGTGAAATCCAGGTAAGTGAATATTGACGCAATGGCACCACACAAAGCTGATGATTTTTCTTAATAGGTCCCCGGAGACAAGTACTGGGGTGCGCAGACCCAGCGGTAAGACGCCTTGCCAATTCGATACAATGGAAAAAGAACAAGGTCGCTGATGGATACAGCTCCCTGGGCAACTTCGACATCAACCAGCCCCAGGACCGCATGCCCGCCCCCGTGGTCAAGGCCTTCGGTATCCTGAAGGGTGCTGCTGCCGAAGTGAACATGAAGTACGGCCTTGGTATGTGAAGCTCTTGCGGAGATTAGGATATCGTCAGGTTATTGACTTGCAGAAGACCCCAAGATTGGTGAGGCTATCAAGCAGGCTGCTGCTGAGGTCGCCGAGGGTAAGCTGCTGGACCACTTCCCTTTGGTCGTCTGGCAGACTGGTTCCGGCACCCAGTCCAACATGAACTCTAACGAGGTCATCTCCAACCGTGCTATTGAGATTCTCGGTGGCACCATGGGCTCCAAGAAGCCCGTCCACCCCAATGACCACGTTAACATGTCCGCCTCCTCCAACGACTCCTTCCCCACCGTTATGCACATCGCTGCCGTTGTTGAGCTCGAGCAATCCCTTCTGCCTGCCCTCAAGGGCCTCCGCGACGCCCTCCAGGTGAAGGTCGACAAGTTCGAGCACATTATCAAGATTGGCCGTACCCACTTGCAGGACGCCACTCCCCTTACTCTTGGCCAGGAGTTCTCTGGCTACGTCGCCCAGCTCGACCGTAACATCGAGCGTGTCCAGGCTACTCTCCCCCACCTGCGCTTCTTGGCTCAGGGTGGTACCGCAGTCGGCACTGGTCTCAACACCTTCAAGGGCTTCGACGAGGCCGTCGCTGCCGAGATCACCAAGCTGACCGGCACCGAGTTCAAGACTGCCCCTAACAAGTTCGAGGTTCTGGCTGCCCACGATTCCATCATCGAGGCTTCCGGCTCCCTGAACACCCTGGCCGCCTCCCTGTTCAAGATCGCCCAGGATGTGCGCTACCTTGGCTCCGGCCCTCGCTGCGGCCTGGGCGAGCTGAGCCTGCCCGAGAACGAGCCCGGTTCTTCCATCATGCCCGGAAAGGTCAACCCCACCCAGTGCGAGTCCCTCACCATGGTCTGCGCCCAGGTTATGGGTAACCACGTCGCTGCCACTATCGGTGGCATGAACGGCCAGTTCGAGCTTAACGTCTTCAAGCCCGTGATGATCGCCAACCTGCTCCACAGCGTGCGCATCCTTTCTGATGGTATGAACAGCTTCCGTACCCACCTGGTGGACGGTCTGCAGGCTAACGAGGGACGTATTAACTCCCTTCTCAATGAGAGGTATGCGCTTAACCCCCCCCCCTTACTTTTGATGGCAAATTCTAATTGTATGATAGTCTGATGCTCGTGACTTGCCTGAACCCTATCATTGGTTACGACATGGCCTCCAAGGTGGCTAAGAACGCTCACAAGAAGAACCTTACTCTGAAGGAGAGCGCCATGGAGCTCAAGGCTCTCAGCTCAGAGGAGTTCGACCAGTATGTCCGCCCTGAGCTCATGCTGGCTCCCAAGGAGTTGAAGTAGATGAACAGCAATGCTGTCCTGTGTTATTATAGACCATTTCCGATAGGATGTGTACACTGAAAAGAATTTTATGTTTAATCACTTTTGTTGTGATATGTTATACGGTTTTCTTTGTGTAGATTCCATTGGGGTTATAAATAGCATCTTCGATCGCAAACCCGATCAAGAACGCTAGTGAATCGGGGCTGACGATATCATTTTAATATGTATCAATAAATTCAGAAATTTTCAATCCCGAGATAAGCAGGTTATACATAGTAAAAAAAACCGAGAGAAGCAAAAAATAGGAATCCACTTGTCCCTTGGTATGGGGGAGTATTAATAGAAAAGCCCCCCTTAGTGGCGGTGTCTCAGCTGTACCTGAACCCTGCAAAGTCAAGTACTTATTTCTGAACATTTCAAAAAACATCTTCTTTCCCACATCGCAACCCTTATATCTCGCCTCAATTATATACTTAAGTTTCAAACAAATTAACTCACTCAAATCCAACACCGCCGATCTTCCTTGCGACCCCCGGCCCCTGATAAACAACCCTTCAACCCTCAATCTCTTCACCACTCTCCAACACCCACCATCAAAATGACTGCACATGCCCTCACAAGCACCACAATGCCGGAGGCCACAAAGCCAATCATAAGCTCAACAGTTACCCCAGTGGACGCCGAAATCGATACCCTCACCGACGGCCCCCTCTTCCCCTCCAACCTCATCTCCCCCGAAGTGATCTCCCTCCTACCAACAGACTACACAATCCGGCCCATGCGCCGCTCAGACTACCACCGCGGCTACCTGGACGTCTTGCGCGTGTTGACAACTGTTGGCGATATCACCGAGGAGGCATGGAACCAGCGGTACGACTGGATTACCTCGCGCAATGACGAGTACTACATGCTCGTGGTCTGCGATGGCGCGGACCAAGTTGTCGGAACCGGTAGTCTGATTGTTGAGCGCAAGTTCATTCACTCGCTCGGTATGGTTGGACACATTGAAGACATTGCCGTTGAGAAGAACCAGCAGGGCAAGAAGCTTGGTTTGAGAATTATCCAGGCTTTGGATTATGTTGCTGCCCAGGTTGGCTGTTACAAGGTATGTGCTCTTATCTCTCATGTCTATGTTTATAATGTTGTGACACTGTTCATTGCTGACTCGTCTACAGAGCATTCTTGACTGCTCCGAAGTCAATGAAGGTTTCTATGTCAAGTGTGGCTTCAAGCGCGCTGGCCTCGAGATGGCGCATTATTACTGAGCGTTTATTGATCCATGTATTTTTTCCCCTCCTGGTTCACACCGGTTGTTTGGTATGGCGTTTGGGTCAGTTAGTCCCGCAAGGCTTCGGCGAGATGCCGTTGTTGATGAGAAACTTGCGCAAAGCATGGGATTGTTGCATTTGAGGGAGCGGAGCTGCATCTGAACCTAATCCACCATGATTAGCATGGCCTCTCGGCACATGACAAGGAGCAGCTGGGGCATCTGTAGGATTTTGCATCCACTTCCACTTTTGGCAACTCAGTTGCACACTGTGGGAGTCCTTAAGTTAGGAAGTGCTCGATCTACCAATCGTGATCATGGTGATGGTGCTTCTGCCATTGCGGCGATCCCCATATTATCTTGTAACACTACTGATGTTGTTTTTTGTTTCCAAGCTTGTATTGTCTCTGCTTTCTCGGAGTCTGAAATCAAGGCATTGCGGGGATGGAGACCTAGATGGTCTAAGTATATTATAGATGTGCATGAAGCATGACAATTATATATCATTATTATTCAACTTGGAAGATTATCCATCCCATGGTCTGGGATAGAAGTTCAAAATGCCAGCAAGAGGCTGTTTACGAGAGTGGGTGTTCCAACTTGTATACACATTTAACGTAAAAAGGTTAGAACAAATCGAAACATGAAATTCAATTATAAATCGGAAGGCCGACTATGGACTACTTCGTTGGCAAGATCCGGTAGATACATATCCAACCACTCATGAGTAGGCCTGGTGAACATGAACCCCAAGGGAAAAAGCAAGAAACGTTCCATTGCTGGAGGTTGGATAGGATCATAGTTTTAATACTCGCATGGGGATTCATATTTTTGATTCCTTTGTTCCCATTTTTCTGCATGAAATTGTATTGCATAAAGTATTTCCAGAAACAAGGTCAAGGCCCAAGGCCAGTCAGACAGTACTCCAGCTCCGGTGCCCGTAAGTTCCATCATATCGCAACCATCACAGCGCTGCTCCTTTCCGAACACCTCCATTCCCCAACTATTTCATAAAGAAATTTAGCGGGACTTGGCGGCGACCTTGGGGGCAGAGCCCTTAGCACCCTGCTTGCTCTGGATGCGCTGGGCACCGCCCTTGGAGGCGGCGGTCTTGGCCTTCTCGGCCTTCTTGGCGCTGGCGGAAGCAGCCTTCTTCTCCTTGGCGTCCTTGATGGCCTGCTTGCGAGCAGCCTCACGGGCCTCGGGGCGCTGGGAGCGGCGCTCCTTGATCACATCGAGGGAAGCACCAACGATACCACGCTGGTTCTTGACAACACGGCGAGTGCGCTTCTTGGCGACCTCCTAAATATCCAAAAACATAACCCGGTCAGTAATCTGCAGTCGCATTTTCCATCATTTGAATGTGAATCATGGTGGTGACGTGATAATTCCTCCTCTTGCTCCGTCTCATGGTTGGCGTCACCATTCGATTCGGCCTTTTGTCCCTCCACACAATCTAACAATAATCCAAGGGGAGGGGCGACCGACCTCAGAGATACCCTTGCGGTGCTGGCGACGGAAGAGAACAGTCCATGCGATGCGGCGGGGGTTCTTGCGCTGGAGGAAAAGGGACTCGGACTTTCCACGCTGGAAGCGGAAGATCTTGCTGTCGCCACGGACGAACAGCTTGCCCTAAAACATTGAACATCAAATATTAGCTTCGAGTAGCAATAAAAACACGGCGGAATTCATGTGCGGCGGTTCGGCTATGACGGAGTGCGACAATTGTGACGGTATTGAAATATCGAAGTGTGAATGTCGAATCCGCGATGCCGTTGTTCCCTCGCACACAAATTCCTCCCAAAGGCGACGACTGGAATTGCAAACGCACCTTGCCAGGGTAGATCTTCTGGCCGCTGAAGGAGTCGTCGTAAGTACGCATCTTGACGGATGGAGATGCGCTGACGGGGGTCGGTTGGCGTTGAGTGGTTGTCGTAAATCGTGGATCGCGGTGATGCTACTGACCCAATTGTGGTGCGGGCGCTCGCTAAAGTGCGACACGTGACTGCCTCTGCCCTTTCCGGGTTGACTTATCGATAAGGTCACATGATATGCCTCTCTTTTCCAATACTTCAATTCTTTATGATCTCTGATCAGGATAGTTGCATAGCTTGGATTTTATCACTTAGTCTCTGCTTTCATATATATGTTGCTATGAGTGAAAATGATAAATTACATGAGATGACATGAAATTCACATTTGTTCCTGGCAAGCCCTCGGCAAAGCGAAAGGAACATGGAGTTTTCGCTGACCAACCACTCCTGGCCCTCAATGAAGTTGAGTTTCCTTTGGATCTGCTAGATGTAGGTGGAAGCCGTCCGTAATAGAGCGGATCAAGTAGGATCCTCATATACAAACAAGTACGTGTATCCAGTCTACATATACATGTCTTCTTCGATGGCCCTTTTTATCAGAGTCCGAATGAGGAATAGATAAATTTAACATATATGTACAATTCGAGGACTACAACCGTGCAACAAACGATACAAAGATAAGTATACTGTGGGGGCTGTAAGTGGCTGGACTACATTGGATGTGTGATGGCGGATGTGTTCCAGTTAGGAATGGCTGACTAAAGCCAAACACACCCAGCCTCGGGGTGTGGACCCGACGACCTCGGGAGGTTGGTTCTCCGCAACGCCTTCTAAAAAGCCAGAATAACTTGAGACAAGGGTAACGAGAGGAGCATTGAATGGAATGCTACTCGAAGCATGTTGCCCAATAACAAACGCTTGGATTTCAATGCCTGCTATCGCAAATAGAAAGGGTTGTCCTGCACTTCATGGTCACGTAACACCAACGGACTTAGGTCATAGCATGTGTCCGAGTCCACTCCTTTGCTGTTTGGATCGCAGCAGGCTCATCGTCCTTCCATCTCTGAGCAACGTCATTGGCGAGCGGGTCATCGGGATTCGGTGCTCCAAGCAGTGCCTGGATCGAGAGTAGAATCGTACGAATCTGGAGAGCTGGAGACCAATTATCTGAAAAACATGGTTAGATATTCGTCGTTTGAGAATGAATCGTATTGGGTCTTACTCTTCAAGACATCCAAACAGATGCGACCCAGACGATCGATGTTGGGGTGGTAGATCTTGGTCAGGAAGCGGATTTTGGGTGGGGTCATAGGATAGTCGTCTGGCAGGAAGAGCTCAAGTCGGAAGATACCACCTGCAGAAAACATGTTAGTACTTCAATACACATGAGGATTTTGTTATCGCGAGCCTACCCTCGTATGGAGATTGCGCAGGTCCGTGAATTGAGACGTCGAAATAGCGGAGATTATCGTCATGGGGCACAGCATTAATGCCTGGAACACTGTAACCCAAGCACAACATGTTAGCTGTTATACATATGACCTTTCGAGCGAAATGATTTGCTTACGGCTCTGCCATCAGACGTTCTGTCTCCTTAATGATTCTCTTGGGTAAAGCCATGGTGAACCGGCTTATCGACTCGCGTGTAGACCTGGTTTAGTAATTTCAGACGAGCAAACTGTTCTTAAAGGAGACCAGAAACTTGCACACTTTCGACGTTGACGGGGACCACAATATGTAATCAGAAAAGTCAACAGAGAATAGTAATGCGCAAGATAACAAAAAAAAACAGATCCAGGTCTCGACGTAACCGGCCGAGGGGCTCCTGCATGGCGGGGTTATTTCGCGTCCCGTATACGAGATCATGTGATGTCATGGTCCCACAGCCACAGCCACAGCACCAGCCACGTCCCTGTCCTTATCGCGGCCGTTATCGCAACCTAACTGTCCAGTCTCCGCGACAAGTCGAGAATATAACTACCATACCCAAGCATGAAACAAGGATAGGGGATGCCATTGTGGAAAATGGGAACAGGTGCATTGCTCCCAATTACATATGGTTTTGCGTTATCTGCATGGATAGGCCTTTGACTCCCCGGTTCCTGCAAGATCGCGGCCCGACGAACACCGGAGATTGAACGCAGCGGCAATCACAGTCACCATGTCTAGCTCGATGGAACCGAGACCTCTCACGTCGGCTATGGAGAGCCCGACGTTTGAAGAGGACAGCTCATTTCATGTAGAGCAACCGGTGGGTTCTATGTCAATATCCCCCTGTGGACGCGATGTCGTTCTAGCGTCCAAGGAGGGTCTACATGTCATCGACCTAGACTCGCCATATTCCCCACCGCGGTATCTCCCTCACCACACACCATGGGAGGTAGCTGATGTGCAGTGGTCGCCATTCGCTGCACGCGATCAGTGGGTTGTCAGTACATCCAACCAGAAAGCATTGGTCTGGAATTTGGCCATGAAGACATGGCAGAACTCAATTGAAATTGTGCTTCACGCCCATACTCGAGCAATTACCGATATCAACTTCTCGGCATTCCATCCAGATATCCTAGCGACCTGTTCCGTGGACAGCTTTGTGCACTGCTGGGATTTACGTGCCCCGGCGCGGCCAGCGGTCTCATTTTCTGATTGGTTTACTGGTGCAACCCAGGTGAAATGGAATCGACAAGACCCTCATGTCATTGCAAGCTCTCATGACCGGTTCCTTCGGATTTGGGATGACCGCATGGGCGCATACCCGATCAAGTCCATTGAAGCACACAACACCAAGATCTATGGAGTTGACTGGAATCGTGTTCGACGTGGTGCTGTAGTTACATGTTCCTTAGATAGAACTATTAAGTTCTGGGACTACACTACCGATTCAGATTCCGATATTCCAGAAAAGCAGATTCACACACCATTTCCCGTGTGGCGCGCACGCAATACGCCGTTTGGATGGGGTATGCTTGCAATGCCACAGAGAGGCAACAATGATCTTCATCTTTACAGCCGGCGAGCTGGAGAGGACTCAAGTCCAGAGGATGACTTGCCTCTGGTACATAGTTTTCCCGGACACAAAGGACACGTCAAAGAGTTCTTGTGGAGACCACGCGGAGGGGTAGCGGATGGAATTGACCACCGCGAATACCAACTTGTCACGTGGGGAACAGACAGGGAACTTCGTCTTCATAAAGTCAACCCTGAAATTCTGGCGCGCGTTGGGTACGAAAAGGGCAAGTCCTTTATTTCCACACGAACCGTGACACGTCTCGGTGCCGTATATCGGAGTTTCCGCGATGTGAATTCAGATTTGGATCTCGACGATGTTGACGTGGCTTCCTCTGTTGGGCAACAAACCCAGAATGCTGCGGCAGGTACTGGAATGAACGCCATTACTGTTCCTCACGCTCGGGGTTGGATAAAGGGAGGCCGTGTTGACCGATTTGGCATGCAGCCAAGGTCAAATTTAAGAGCCGACACAAATCCAATTGCTTGGATGCGCGGTGTGAAGATCTCAGGCTGGGACATTGAGACATTAGGAGATGAAATCAGCCAGGTCGGTGAAAAGTTCACCAAGGTGGCGTTTGATTCAGTTGACGTTCGACAACGGAAGATTTCCATCTCTCTTAACGGGCCCTGGGGTGCTGATGGGGCCTCATTGTTCTTGAAAGTAGATATCAAATTCCCAATGAGCTATCCCAAGACTGCTATCCCAACCTTTGCATTCCAAAAGACGGCCGCCGTCACCGATGAATGGGCTGCGAAGACCACAGCTGAACTGCGCACAATTGCTGAAACCTATATGTCCCGAAACCGCGGGTGCCTGGAAGGTGCTGTGCGTTATCTTCTAGGCGAAAGCAGCCTGGAGGACAGCATCGCATGGATATTGGGTGAAACTGGCGATACTCTCAAGTCTCCTATCAACGGTGAAATGGAAGGCGAATCCAGCGACGAGGATGAAGTCGGCATGACCCAGAGCCAAGAGCTGGGGATGAGTTCTGAGCTACTGCGTCCTGTCAATGCCAACGTCATGGTGCCTGTGGCCAAAGTATGCGGCGCGCTTTGGGCAAATGACGGCCGCCTCATATGCTTCTTCCCACCGAAACCAAAGAAGGATAAATCTGCCGAATTGTTCGAAAACATGGGCTTCAAAGAGATGACTCGCTGGTCTAGAGGCGATAAAGTTTTTGAAGGCTTCGGCCGGTTACATACCAACTCACCTGGCCCACGCGGAACGGGAACGATAACGAGCACAGATGATGGTGACTCGGATGATTCGGACGAGTCATACTCAGACACATCGAGCTCTTCGGGCTCCTCTGACGTTCTTTCTGGGCTCCCGACACGTTTCCCAGCACCTCGAACATGGCGCAGTGCCGGCAGCTATGGCCTGCACCGGCCACGATCAACAGATAATTCTCAGCGCTCGACTGCAGGTGGAGCCACAGTCAAATCCGAGGCACCCCAGAATATCGTATCTATTCATAATCTGAGTGATATGCTACCCGTCAAGCGGGAATTGGCGAGTCTATATCGCATCTGTGGCAAAGGAACAGATGTATGCGCTCATAACGCAGCTGTTGCTCTTGACGCTGGCTGCTACGAATTGGCTCAAATTTGGGGTCTGATCAAGCTGATATTGCATGTCCGAAAAAGCCCCGGCACTTTACCTGAGTCAGGGCTGTTGCAAAGGCGTGCACACAAAAAAGGGGGCGGAATTGGTGGTCTGGGAAGAGATGGGCTGTATAGAGACTTGACGGGCAGTATCATTCGCTGGGGCGACCACCCCCTTGGCAGTCATTGGCTTGTCCCTGCTCTCTTTGAACACTTTGAGCGCATTGGTGATGTGCAGATGGTGGCAATGCTCTCATGTGTACTACTAGAAGCCAACCAAGAGGGATATTTGGAGAACCAGCAAGCTAAAAAGACAGGCGGGACACAGGATTTCTCAATGGATTTCCCCCCTGTTCCATCGGCGATTCCAACCAAGTCACCAGTTGCGACGCCAGCTTCAGCTGTTCCCAAAGAGGTCCAGCCTGCGCCCGAGACTTCAGCACGCTCGTCTAGTGAGATATGGCGTCTCGATTCCACTCCCCCATATTCTACAGGCACTACGCCTCCATTCATGTCCCGTCCACGAGGCATCGCTGCTGACCGAAAAAACCCGAGCCACAATGTCTCCATGGCTGCATCGCCTGATCAGCAATCCCAGGTACGAAGTGGATCTGGGTTTGGATCAGTGCTGGCATCCTCATTATCTCGTTCATTCACATTCGGACCGTCATCTGCGTCACCACCGACAAGTAGGATGGACAAGAAAAAGCCTACTCCTCAAAACAGCCCAAGTGTGGCAGCTGGACAAGTGGTAAGTAGTTCCAACCCTGTTTTGAGATGCCTGCAAAGTTTGATATCTGACCTTAATTGCTCTTTAGTCACAGGCTCAATCCGAGACTGAAAGCAACCACGCAACGGAGACTACACCGCTACCCCCAAGATTCAAAGTCACTTTCAAGAACCAAAATGCATTTGAAAGCGACGGACCAGCGCAAGACTCTTCTTTTCTTGACACAGATGAGGAGTTGCTGTATCGGTCGTACCGCGTTGCTTATGCCAATATATTATCGATTTGGGACCTCCCCGTTCAACAAAGCGAGGTGATGAAGATTGGAGCCGTGGCTGATCGAGTGGACGACTTGACCTCAAGCCATTACTGGAACAGCACCATCTCCAAAGAGACCGCTTTGGAAGACTCACAGCCGGAGCCAAGCTTCCAAGCTCTTGACTTCCAGCGCCATTGCGCCAGCTGCGGTCACGCATTGCAGCTTTCCATCTTTAATAAACAACCCATAGTCCCGAATACCCCCTCCAAGCGACATCAGCGCAAACCATCAGGCCGTCGATGCCCTAACTGCAAGCCCCGACAACCCCTGCCAACCAAACTACCCTGCGTCATCTGCGGCGAGGTGGTTGACGGTATGCTGATCCCCTGTCTGAGTTGCGGACATGTAAGCTGTTTCGACTGCCATCGACACTGGTTCCTTCGGCCGGCCGACAAATTCGACAGCCCATTCGACAACCCAGACCAGAACAAGTTCCTCCCAACCTGTCCAACAGGATGCGGCTGTCAATGCTCCGAGCACATTGCCGTTGACGTCCCCATGCCCGTATGGGAACCAGCATTCCCCGGTCCCAAAGAGTACACACCCGAGTACGCACCCACCACCCAGCACAGTATCGTACAGGCGAAACACTCTCATTTTCGACAATCTGAGCCTCTTATGTTGGATCACGGCCGAAAAGAGGCACCGCAGCCCAAGGGTGCTGGCCAAACTGAACACGATTTGGATGTATGGCAGGATTCGTCGCCATTTGCATCTCTGGCGCGTGGTCTCGGCGGTGGGCTGAGTCGTGGTTTGCAGCCGAAAGAAGCTCGGAAGAAGAATAAATCTGTTGCTGTGCCGTCGAATTTGAGGAACTCTTGATTTTTGAAGAGTGGCGTTGATCGGTGTTTATGATTTTGCGTATATCCATTGCTTTCTGGGAAGGGCTTCCAGCTTTTAACAATTAATTGGTCAATCCGATTCATACGGTTGACACTATCCATTTAATGCACCATTCCGGGGTAGGCTGTAGTTCAAAGGCTTCATTTAAGAGTCTACCCCCTCCGCGGGATCGCTGGACTGAGGGTGACATATTGCAATTTAACACTTTAATATGAAGTTCGGATGCTTGGCAGTCTGACCGATCTAGATCTCCTACGCCGTTGAGCACGGACGACTGTGGCACTGGCCTTTAACACTAGTCCATTATTAACCTTGAAACCTGCAGCGCACCAATTAAAACATCAAAGTATAGTTCCAAGACTGTACCCTTGTACAACATGTCAACCTTAGAACACTTTACGACTACCATTTACTAGATACTAGATAAAGACAATGAAGAATAGAAAGAATGAACTCGTGGCTTCATTAAAAGTATTTCACTCTTCAGGCAACCGAGCAAGCAACAGGGCGATCTAAAAATTCGGAAAACCGCTGAGAGCAGGGAGAAACAGTGGATATTTGCACACAAATACCGTCCGAGTCCCTATCACCCATGAAACAATGCGCCAGCCCATTTACCCAAATCTATTTTTCAGAGCGAATTTACAGGTGCTTGAGGACATTCTCGGCGCGGGAGAGATCCAAGCTGTTCTTGGCGACCTCCTTGGCGGCGTAGGTGACCTTACCGTGGTCGATAACGATCACGTAACGGTAGGTGCGGCCCTCCTCATCAGCCCAGCCGATGCTCTTGGAGAACTTGGCGTCGGGGTCGGAGAGGAAAAGCTAAAAAAAAAAAGAGACACGAGTCAGTCAATTGAGTCCATGATTTGTTTTGGGGGATTGATAGTTTTGAAGGAGGGGTGATGGAGGGGGTGATGGATCACATACAATATCATCTCCGGTGACACCGTTGGCCTTGCCCCAGGCGCTCATGACGTAGGCATCATTGTAGGCAAGGACGGCAACCTGGTCGACACCCTTGGCGCGGAGCTCGGGGAGCTTCTGGATGTACTCGGGGACGTGGTTGGCGGAGCAGACGGGAGTGAAAGCACCTGTAGAGAGTGGCGGTCAGCATGAGAACCCTGCAGGAAGAAAATTGAAAATTTTCGAAAGAGCGGTCACATACCGGGAAGAGCGAAAAGGATGACCTTCTTGTTGGCCCACTCCTTGGAGGCGTAGTAGTTGATGGGGATACCGCAAGAGGTGATCTCGCCGGCCTCCTCAGACCAGGGGATGTAACTATTTTGTCTGTTAGATAAATTGCAATTGAGTGGGGGGTAACAATGACTCACGAGAAGACAACGTCCTCGGGGAAGGAGTCACCAGCGTTGAAACCCTTAGCCATTTTGATTGATTTGAGTTGTTAAAGAAGAGAGATATGTTAAGATTGTGGATACGGGAGAAGAGAGGAAGGGGGGGAAGAAGTGTATTTAATATTTATGGCTTACACATATCGGCCCATCGGGATTTAAGTGGGCCTTGACTTTACCTTGGAGACGTGAGGTGATCCGAAAAAGAAAGATACCGAACCACATGGATTATCAAGAAAAGACGGCCGAGACTCGTTATCTGATTTTACATGGGCGAATCGGATCTGAGATGACTCAGCCCGGATTTGCCTCGAGGGCTGTCGGTTATTAAGATAAGTTACTTCGGATTTAATATTCCTGTTCCTGGCCGTTCTTCGGGGTTCTTAGGAACAAGTTTATTGTTGTCATTGGCCAACAATGAGGGACCGAGGTGGGGGATGATGTTATAGAATGCCTGATCTATAAGGCAGAAGGTGGGATGATAAGGTCATGTGATCTATATGCCTGGATGCCTTAAACCATATCCCAAGTCAAAAGAAAGCGTCCTCGATCATGTCGATAATGTTAGACTCGAAGATACAAGATCCGATGTGACAATTCGCCTGTAACACCATAACCACATGTGCAATATCTTTGAGAGTCCCATTAAGATAGACTAAGCCATAGCTCGCCCAACATCTTCTATCTTCAGATGTCGCCTTGGATCACTATGAGCGTTGAAAGGACAGCATCAACAGCTTTAGTTGTTTACCTTTAAACTTTCAAGTTCGGAACTAGAAGATATGATCTATGAGGATTCCGTATATAGAGATGAGATCCTTTAGCTATATTCCCACTAATGCGTCGTTTTCTAGGACCGTTCATGTCAATCTTCTTTAACTTAGTATATGCTTTTTTTGGGAGGGGGGCGACAGTAAGTGAGGTGTAGAAAAAGCTTTAAGAGTTGTTAGTAGTACCGCTAGTAAAGAAGGCCTATAACCTTTAGGTCTTACTATATAAAGAATATCGCTACGAAGAAAGACTATGTGGAATTCCTATAACACGAAGTGGAAGGAGAGTCAGGGGAGGAGATCAGTAGCTAACTACATTAAACTATTTGATGGGAGGACTGACATTCCTCAGACCAGCAGACAGAAGTGAAGGCCCTGCCTGCTTTGGCAGTCAGACAGTCTCTATAAAGTAAAAAGAAAGAAGCTTCATTCACTTCTTGTTTATTTCTTCCCAACACCAATTTCTCGTCCAGCATCCTTCTGTTTTACAACTCAAGGGTCATATCACACCACCACCATCTTCTTCTCTTTCCCAGAAGCTACCAATTCTATTATTCTTCGTACTCCATACCGAGAAGGAACCTGACTCTTTTCACCATGCCACCATCCTGTGTCAGAACAAGACCACCAGAATGTGAGAATACTAAACTACGCCTCTATCTAGAACCATGTTGACTGATTTGCCTAGTTTGCCCAATTTGTGCTAGCTACTTGACCATCTCACCCCGTCCCGCCGATTCAGCCCAGGGATTTCGAAACTACTTTACTTGCCGAGCATGCCCATACATATATCCGGTGTCAGAAAGTGGTTATTCCGCCGACGATGAACCTGTCGTCAACAAGGCTGTCACCAACAAGCCTGCTACCAACGACCCTGCCGCCAACAAGCCTGTCCCCAAAGAGCCTATCACCAAAGAGCCCGTCTAACACGCCTGTCGCCAACAAACCTGTCGACGATGAAGCTATTATCGGTGAATCTGTCAATGGTGAAAGTGTTGGCCATATCTCATGGGGATCGCTCTAAGGGATACAACCATACCGCTGTCTAGAAGATGCATAAAATCCCAAACGGCCGAGTGGCATCACTCTTAGCTGCCACGGAATTCCCCTGTCAGGGTTTTGTGTATCCCACCCAGCTTCAAGGTGTCTATCTTACCAATACACCCATCAAAAGCGTGTCTCAACACATGGTAATAGAAGTTCTCGAGAAAAATACACAAAAGAGCGACTTTAAGAACGAGTTCACAGCTACGTTACATAGTCAAAATGTCTTAATCTGAGGATGGGCTATGGAGGTTTGAGATGTCCACCAAAGTCTGAGAAACCACCCCAATCCAAGAGTCTAAGATGTCTGGATCCAGGGATCTTGAGGATTTCAAGACGATGAGAAACGCAATCGGTCTCACCAGCTAGATCAATATCAGTGTAAATGTTCTATAATCCTCGTCAATGGGATGTTAGGGATATAGGAAGGACTTACACTCTTTTTTCTTGATTGCAAGTGTGGCCGAGTGGTTAAGGTAAGATTATCCTGAGTCCCTCGAAGAATACTAACAAACGTGGGTGGCTTGCATTCTTTTTTTTTGCTAAAATACTACTCCGCACCCGAATGGCTTCACAGCTCGTAGCCGTTAAATACCGAAGAATTGGCCAAATCATCTGTGGATCATGGCTTCTAAAGTGGTTAAAAACTGTGTATAACCATAGAAACACTTCGATCGTGCATGGCGGACAACAATCAGACTCTGATATTGTTAATGGTAACTATTCACGGTTAACACTATCACTCACATTGTGAGATCTCTCTATTTATATCGCTTTTCATACAACAATATCAAGAAAACCGGAGGGACACAATCTAATAGTGACCGTCTTACTCTTTTCCATAGGTAATACCGCTATGGACATCCAAATTGAATATTCACACCATCCACTTTCGCTGATTCTGTCTTGAGATCCATACTACCAGTATCAGAATATCAGTGGTAGATCAATGCCGCTAGTAATTAAGGTCTCCAGGCCATGCGCCTCTAACTTCCTTTGGAAAAATATCAGCAACTTCCCGTGGAACGGGTTTCATGATCGGGATTGGGGATCGGATTTCGGGATTCAAATGTAAGCTCCATATATACATGCCCTAATTTCACTTTGATTTCACGACATATTCATACTATGGCAGAAGTAAATGTACTATTGAGGGAAAAGCCATCACCGACTGAGCCAGTTGTACAAGAGCCTCTCCGTGCACCAGCAAGAGAACAATATCAAGAACGAGAAGCACCAGCACCAACACAATCTAATAATAACCATGACCATCTCACCCCCAAAAGAACATGGCGTTTTTGGGCCGTGTTCCCAGCACTATGTGTGACAACTTTCCTCTCAGCCCTCGATACATCCATTCTCTCAACCGCCCTTCCCACAATCGCCCTTGATATTGACGCCGGCGAACTATACATGTGGATCACAAACTCATACATTCTATCATCGACAGTCGTCCTACCACTATTTGGCCAGATGGCGAACATCTTCGGTCGACGACGGATGCTGATCATCTCGGTTGTCATATTTACCTTGGGGAGCGGCATGGCCGGTGGCGCGAAGAACACTGGACTTCTAATCGCGGGACGAACAATCCAAGGCATCGGCGGCGGCGGTATCAATACCCTCGTGGACATTGTCATTTGCGACCTGGTCCCCCTCCGCCAGCGAGGTAAATATGTCGCACTCATGGCAGCCGTGTGGGCAGTTGGAACAGTGATCGGCCCTGTTCTAGGCGGTGCATTTGCCCAATATGTCTCATGGCGTTGGGTCTTCTATATCAACCTGCCGCTTTGTGCTGCGTCACTTCTTTTGTTGGTGCTGTTCCTGCGAGTCACACACCCGCGCACCGGTGGCACTGTGTGGCACCAGCTCAAGCGTGTGGACCTTGTTGGTAATTCTATCCTTACAGCTGCCGTTATCTCGATTTTGCTCGCTCTCACTTGGGCTGGAACAACCTACGCTTGGTCTTCGTGGCGTGTTATCGTACCTCTTATTTTAGGGCTCGGGGGACTGTTTCTTTTCTACGGTCATCAAACGTCACGATTCTGTACCGAGCCCTCAATTCCACTCCGGCTGTTCTCAAGCAGAACTGGAATGTGCGCATTGTGGATTGCGTTTCTTCAATCTATCCTGCTATACTGGGTCGGATATTTCCTGCCAGTCTATTTCCAAGCTATACGTAACTCGACTGCCACGGAATCCGGGCTATACGTGCTTCCCATCACAGCCGCAATTGCGCCTTTTGGAATCATCACGGGAGTTATCATCGCCATGACTGGCAAATACCGCATCTTCCACTTCCTGGGATATATATTCCTCACTATCGCCAGTGGCCTCTTCTCGCTCCTAGATGACCATTCACCTGCTCGCGACTGGGCTGGCTTCCAGATACTCTTCGGCGCTGGTTCTGGTATGATCTTCTCCAGCACTCTACCTCCGATCCAGGCATCGCTATCCGAGTCCGATGTGGCAACTGCAACTTCCACCTGGGCGTTTATGCGTAGCTTTGGTTGTATATGGGGTATTGTTATTCCGACTACTATTTTCAATGCACGTGTCCAGGAGCTGCTGTATCGCGTCAGTGATGTGTCTCTGCGTGCAAAACTTGCTGATGGTGGTGCATATGCCATGGCCAGTCAAGGGCTAATGCGTACTTTGAGCAATACTCCGAATCTTAGGGCAGAGGTGCTTAGTGTTTATCAAGATAGTTTGCGTTGGGTTTGGTGGATTTCGATCCCGTTTGGTGGTGTCGGGTTGCTTCTCTGTATTCCCATTAAGGAATTGGAGCTCACGGAGGAGTTGAATACAGAGTTTGGATTACACTGTGCTACAATAGATAGAGAAGAAGAGTGAAACCGTCAATTTCCTTTTGTTATAGGTGGCTGTGAATATCTGTCACATTCTCAGAAGTCATAAAGCAGGAGTCGTCACAGATGTTCCAAGGCTCCTATGTTTGTATTTCTAATAACTTGCTCCTTTAATCACCTGTAATATATCGCCTTCTACCCGTCGGTTTGTTCTTCTCTTGGAGTGACTTGACTGCTCAAATCACACCCACTTCAAAAATCTTCGAGAAAGGAAATATAAAAATACCATGTTAATGCCTTGTATCATTAACATGGGGCGTCGTCTCCATCAAACGAGCCAAAGTAACAGCTTCCCGAAGCGCCCGTCCAACATGTCCACGCACACCAGCCTCTTCCATCACCATCAACCCACCAATCGTGCATCCCTCAGGAGACGTTCCCTGATCCTTCAACAGAGCAGGGTGAATACCACTCTGAAGCATCGTCGCCGTCCCTTGCATTGACTGAAAGATCATAGTATGAGCCAGGTCCCGTGGAAGACCGACCGCCACCGCAGCATCAATCATCGCATCGCAAATCACAGCGAAGAAAGCCGGCGTCGAGCCCCCAACAGCCGTCGTAGCATTCATCAACCTCGGATCAACATGTACCGCCTTGCCAATCTGCTCGAAGATCGATGTCGTGATCTGGAGATACCGGTCTGGCAAAGCAGGCTCCGATGTTTCAATAGCGGTAAGTGACTGAGACACCTGCGCTGCGATGTTTGGCAATGTACGCACCACCCAGGCTCTGTCTGCTGTGTTGTCGGCGGTGGTTGCGCTGCCGTATAGTGTGGTTTCGAGCTTTTGTCTTGTCCAGCCGGCTGCAATGCTGATAATAAGTTTGTTGGTTAAGGCATCGCGTAGCCCGGGTTGTGTGAGGACGGTCTCGATATCGGCGGGGTCGGCGCCTAGAATGATTACATCGGCGTTTTGGACGGCTTGGGCATTGTTGTCGCGTGAAATGTTTATTTTGTCCAGGAATTCGGCGAATCGCTCGGATAGTCTCTTCTCTGAGGCTTCACTACGTACGCATGCGGTGTATCGAGCGAACGGTAACTCTTTGGATTTTTCCGCTGGTGCATTGATCAAGCCGTTCAGGATGGCAATACCTAGGTTTCCTACAAAGTAGGAGCATTAGTCAATGTATTTTGCCTATGGGTTTGCGCACTTACCACAGCCTAGGATGCAAAGGGTTCCGTTTTGAATATCCATGATTTAATGTTCAAATCAAGGACCCAAGTAAATTATTCAAAGGAAGTGAAAGCAAAAGAGCATAAGTTTTGATTTTGAAGCACATCGGAAGCACTTCCGAGTGTGGAGAATACCCCACTCGAATCGAATAATGTACTTCGTACATATATGAGCTTTATGGGTTCTAGGACCAGGGTATTTTCATTGTTTCTCCAAAAGCTGTGCTTATTTGCATTTCTCCTCACCAAGCCTTGGCGTAGGCAGCTGTACCAGCTGGATACATTCTAGTGGATAAGTGTTTTGAGTCAACATTTGTGGCAGTTGAAAATCTTAAAAGAGGGAAGTAAGTATTTTGTTTAAATAAGAAATTATAGGAAACATATAGATCGGAGAAACATCGGAAGTCTTCCCGATTATCGGCCCCAAATGTTTTCCCCTCACCTTTTCCTATCTCAAAGACCTTTCTTTCTCCAATTTCGCATATTATGGCAGTTTTGAGAATGCGGGGAGAATACTATATCAACTTAATAACCCCAATATATACATTTTGTCTTTAATCATGGTTTCCGTATCAGATCCTATTATTGTCGTCGGCGTCGGCGCTGGCCTCTCGGTAGCACTACATCTTGCTCTACGAGGCTACACAAATGTCTCAGTGTTTGCAAAAGATGTATCTATCCCTTTCGGAGAATTGACAAATGTAGTGTACTCCTAAAAGCTGTTTATTTTCCAAAGAAAAACGGAAATAGAATAATTGCTGATGACTACATAGGTCTATCGCGCAGCACAAGATGCAGGCGTGAAAATTTTCCTGGGACAACAAGTCGATCAAATAGCCTACGTGAGCACATTGACTGGGAAAAAGAATGCCGGTATCCGCACAAGGAATGGATTCCATCCCTCCTCGCTCGTTATTATCGAAGCCGGGGCTCGGGATAATGCATCCGAAATTGGCCAGTTGCATGGCCCCAACTCCTTGGCCATACCCCTCTCTTCTTATACCAACACCAACTCGAAGTCCCTTGTCGAATACGTCCCGCAAACGTCTTCTTCGGTTATACTGCTGTCGAGAAATTCGGTACAAACCTCCCAGATATCTTTGGTGGGACCGATGGTCCTAGATCTCTTGGCGGCAACGAGTGGTCAACAGTCGGAGAATTCATCTCAACCCTTGTCTAAGCTGTGAAGAGGTTTCATCAACCTAAAAAAAAATCGATATATTCACCATCATCCAATAATTCCCGGTCAAAACTGACTGGATCTCCTTGACACCGACCGAGGCGTACGATGTGCAATCGAACTATTTATACGTAACATACAAGCTTTGAAAATTCAACCTACATCTCTGTTCTTCAATATTAAGACAACTGAATTCTTATCATGAATCATTTAAACGCTAGAAGTCAAATAATAAAATCAATGAGTCGATGTTTGCTGGCGCCGACGAGGCCTATCAACCCGCTCAGGATTAACCAATTCAGGAACTCCGGGAATCAACACAACCCACCCAAGACAGGGACGACAAGAGCCCATCGCAAAGGCCTCAGTGATGCGGAGGACAGGACGTGGATTCGGACAAGGCACTCGTCTCTCACGGGCCTTCGCTTCTTTACAGCGCTCGATCCACACTGCTTCTGTGTGCCCACAACCACTGATGCCGCAGTGGCCGCGGTACCATTTATATCGCACTTTGCACATAATGGGTGATGGGTTTGTTGGAAATGGTAGAGCTCAGGCGGAAGTACTCGTGATACATACTAGCCTTGGGTGAAGAAGCTGTGGTAGAATATAGAGTCAAGAAGAAAATCTATATATATTTGTAAGATCTCAAAAGGCCGTAGAGATCAATGAGGCGAATAACATTGTATTTGGATTTCTTTCATCCTAGACTTTGTCTTGCCTGAGATAAAGAGGTCTGGGTATGGTGCAGCTATGATTGGGAACAATGCATTTTGATATCTTTGTTCTAAATATAAGCTATTCCTACATCACCAGTAGTTCATACAACATACATACTCACTACATGCTACGAAGGAGGCCAGAGCTAGATTGAAGTAATAATGGGTTGCTTCATTTGTCTTCGCAGTATGGTCGATTGACAATCTTCTTTCAGGTGTTTTGAAATTTGTCACATCATAACCACTCCGTCATCCGAAGGCTCCTCATTGAAAGGTAGTGCGCCACTCGTCTCGTCCCCGTCGACGTATCTAACCCCGAATTTTCTTCGAAGTCATGTTCGTTTGACTATGAGGCCGAGTCCAGGATTGGACTGTTATTCACCCTCTCATCCACTAGAAGATGAAAATCGGTCCCAGATAATCCAGAAAGAAATGGAATGCTACTATGAATCGCAGCAAATTATGAATGAAAGTACCCACATGATTATTTCTGTGCTGATCCAACGATCTGAGAGCAACGCACTAGTATCTTACAGGTACTTTACTGAATGGGGAGAAATTTCTAGGCGCCTAGAGATTTCATTTTGTAATGACAGTGTGCTTGATATCGGACAGTTCCAACGTTTCTCGTCGATCCAGTATAATGACAGATTCCACCCATCGCCGACTGAATCTTCCATCACCATGCAAGGCATTTATGCAAGTTTCGACCTCATTATAAGTACCAGTCCGAAGATATTGGCCTATAAAGTCCTTCCCGCTGCATACCACAAGGCATCAGCACTTTATTTGGAAAGGCAGGTACCACTAGCACAAAACAGGCCACCACAGCAAGGCGGATTCTGTTTTGCCCCACAAGAGTTATACTTGGATCCACATGCCTATAGATTGATAACATGTTCGTCAGTCATTCTTCAAGGTAGTCGCAAGTTGATATGTGTGTAATAAAATACATACCTTCTCCTCTAAACCACTTGGGTTGCGAGCGGCCTTGTTTTTCATGCAGACACCAGCATCACAGAACAGGCCACCACAACAAGGCGGATTCTGTACATGCCCACAAGAGGAATAATTAGGTGAACATGCCTATAGATTGAAAACATGTTCGTCAGTCATTCTTCAAGGTAGTCGCAAGTTGATATGTGTGTAATAAAATACATACCTTCTCCTCTAAACCACTTGGGTTGCGAGCGGCCTTGTTTTTCATACAGGTACCACCATCACAGAACAGGCCACCACAACAAGGCGGATTCTGTACATGCCCACAAGAGGAATAATTAGGTGAACATGCCTATAGATTGAAAACATGTTCGTTAGTCATTCTTCGAGGTAGTCGCAAGTTAAGGTAGTCGCAAGTTGATATGTGTGTAATGAAATACATACCCTCTCCTCTAAACCACTTGGGTCGCGAGCGGCCTTGTTAGGTAGGCAGGTACCCTTAGCACAGAACAGGCCACCACAACATGGAGGCTGATTTCGTGCTCCACAAGAGTTGTACTTGTCTCCACATGCCTATGGATTGATAACATGTTCGTTAGTCATTCTTCGAGGTAGTCGCAAGTTAAGGTAGTCGCAAGTTGATATGTGTGTAATGAAATACATACCCTCTCCTCTAAACCACTTGGGTCGCGAGCGGCCTTGTTAGGTAGGCAGGTACCGAGATCACAGAACAGGCCACCACAACATGAAGGCTGATTCTGTGCTCCACAAGAGTTATACTTTTGTCCACACCCCTGTGGGTTAATATCATATCAGTAATCTGTACTAATAGATGACCGACAGTAACAGGCAGTCCAATGGAATACATACTCTCCTCTCAAGTGTGCTTGCATCATCAGCAAGCCCAAAGTTGGGCGCCGCCAGAGCAGAGCTAACAAGAGCTGCAAGAACGAAGTTAAAGAGCTGCATATTTATCCTCGTATCGATGCTTGCTTTGGTTTCTTGAGACAAATGTTGTTTGAGTTGATTGATGTGGGAGAGATTTCATAGGGAAGAGGACGGTGGCGATGGCTTTATACCTCTTTTCGTTACCCCTCCAGATTTCCATCCCGAGAGCTTCGCTCGCAGTCTGTGAGTATTTTCTCCATTGCCTCCGGGTTGCCTGATTTAACAGCCCCGCACAGACTCCTCTCCCATTCCTTCGACGATGCTGCGTAACTAAATGCTTTCACTTATTTTGGTAAAAAAGCAACCCTTACTCACGAGATATGCATAATTCTATTGGTTCATGACTGCGAAAGCGGAGGAGTATTCTTCTTGCTCTGTTTTGACTACTCTTAGACATGAGTTATGGACTACTCACCTGCAGCTTTGTAAAATCTTAGCCTGGGTAGTGATACTAGCTCATATTTTCTTTATTCAACCCTCGGTGTACGTAGTGAGCGTACATATGCAATCAGCACAAACGAGGACACCATGCACATTAGACTTGACACAACTTAAATGATTTGCTCTTTTACCGCAGCTACACCGTCGATCTCCAGCGAAAGGAACTCATGTTATTTGAGTAGACCGTTAGTGTGGTGTTACTTTTTCCGTTAGAAAGAAATTTGATCGACATATCACCAGTCTTAGACTAGCGTTGGTATGACCTGCAGAACAAATACGCTAGTATGTTTAAGGATATGTAAAAGTAGAATGCGGAAAACATCGAACTGTTATAAGAGCGATGAGTGGTGAAAAAGTGAGGGTCAATGGACAAGAGCAGGTTTTTTGCTCACAATGGAAAATCAAGCAAATGTGAAAAATCAGAGTGTAGAGGACAGCATGACCGAACAGACTAATGAATTGATTAAATTATTGGGGACTACAAAGTAAACAATTTAGGTGGCCATTGTATATGATTGGCTAAATGACACCCCCTTTACCCTGCCACGACAAGCCGGCCGAGAAGGTCCCCTAATGCATGCACCCTGCATGCACGCCACCAATATAAAAAACAGTATTCTTTCAAGAGAATACAGTCAATTAAATACATTAAATACAGTAAAAGGTGAGAGCTGCATACTATCAATCAGCTAATATTATTTATTGGTATTGGCATTACTGGCAAAAAAAAGCAAAGTGGCGTGCATGCATGGTGCATGCATTAGGGGACCTTCTCGGCCGCTCTGTCATAGCAGGGTACTACAGGGATCATTTCACCGTAAACTGGAGTACGGACGCACTGAGTAGTAGTGATTGGAAAGAGCCTAACCATCATGATTCAAGAAGGCAATTAAATTGGCGATTGGACGCCTGATCGGCATTAAAAATTTCAATACGTCGTAGGCTTGGGATTTATTCCCATTTGCTTGGGTTACATGGTTCTTCGCCATTTAAGAATGCTGAATTTATCAATCGCTCATGGTGAGGCTGTCAGGAGACTAGCTCCGCTATTAGTAGCGAGGGTGTCGATCGTCCCAACATGGACATACCTCACAATTCGTTGAAATTCTCTAAGAAATCAGCCTCATATAGGCACTTTCAAACTCATACGTAGTAATACCCAATCACTCCATAAGAACTAGTCCTGCAGTGTTTGAGGACTGCATAATGTATGACCCTGGCCCGTCCTAAATAAACCGCATCCGTGTAACAGCTAGACTAAATGGGAAGCATTAAGAAGATATTATACGGATCCAAATAACCATAATTGTCCTATCTATTATAATTCTATCATGTTAAGCCGTGACATATAAAAAAAATTGAGGCGTAGGGAGAGGCACCTTACCGTGCACATGGGCCTGGGCATGGCTAATCAGATGTAATAGCCTGGACTCTACCAAAATCATTTTGAAGGTCATTTCGCGCCTACAACGGGAAGGCTAAAAAAGGTCCCATCTAGCTAGAGAAGGGGCTAAAGAATCCATGTTCATTGCTAGCGTATTGCCCTATCTAGGTGGCATCGGGGGAGCATAAATCAAAAGCGGGTATCACATGATTACACCATGGATGAACCCTATACATATGCCAAGAAGCCGAGAGATTTGGAATAATGAGCTGTCGTGTCCCTGCATAATCGTGGGAAGCCCACTAACACAGACCCCGTGTTGGTGGGCTTGGCACGATTATTCTACTTAGGCTGATAAGCCAGCCACGTAGGCATGCCGATCTTCCGTACTCCACCCGACCTGCCCAGGTGCGAAATGAGCCCCAGAAATGCATGTAACCCCAGGTTTTTATTTTATTTTTACGTACTGCTATAGGAGTTGTTAAGGCCTACTATAAACTATGTTAAATTTTAATTTATATATAAAAAATGGGGGATTTTATCTAGTTTTTTTACTAAGAAAAGAGAGTCGTTAACTTTGTAAGTTTTTCGACTAAGTGCTAGTCGTAGGGGGTGTTATAGAGTCACGTGATATTCGATTTTCTAGAGCATACTATTTTTCTTAGTAGTTCTCTCGTATCTCTACTTCTCATAAATTCTAGGATGAAAGATTTCCTGGAAGTGCTAACAAATCATGCTACAGATTGAAATAAATTCTTGTTTTATTAATATTATGCGGGCGCTCGAAATGAATGAGACACACCATTTTACTTCATGCTAGCTCTGACACCCTTCGTAGCACGTACGGAGTAGTTGATATGAAGTGCTGACAATATTGTGTGCTATTGATTCTGTAAACCTCCGCAAACTTGGGATTGTGGTCAGGTAGCCTTACTGCGTCAGGCAACATAGACCCTCTGCTCCTTACCTACATAGTTAATCTTCCTTTCAAGGTTTCTCTCTCTCCCCAGTCTTCCGCTCAATTCGAACAAAGGGTTCTATGCCACCTTGCCTTCTCCATCAAAACGTTTAAAGTACCAAAAAAGAAATACTTGACCCCATATTGTTATTGTGAGTTTTTCTAGCTGTCCTTTTGAGGTCTTCTTTTTGGTAATATGATCTCCCCTATCGAAGACGTCCTGCGCAGATGCTTTGCCTTTTGGCGAATTTCCGTCGGTCAGCGATTACTTCGCCCAGATTTTGGGCTTCGTTGAGCACCAAGTGAAGGTGCTGCTGATCCCTAGAGATATGGCAGTATCTCTTTGGGCTCTCGTGACCATGTATCTGGCCGTCTTGGTCTGCCTTTCCTAGATGTCGTCTGCGAACCTTGTTCACCCTCACCCCGACCTTCCTCTCTGCGTATGCCCGCCGCCAAATGACTACTTCGCCCGTATTGGGGCATTTGCTGAGCGGCTGGTGGCCGCGATGACCCCCCAACAAGGGAAGCTTATTTGGACGCTCGTGTTCATTTACCTGGCCGTCTTGATGGCGAGACGCATCGACCATCTTGTGGAGAGGCTGCTTGCCCGGTATGCCCTATTTACCGCGAACCCTATGAATTTGAATAATGACAGAAATTACAGCCGCTTCCTTCTTCCACCCCCAACCCGGACCTAGGCCCCAGCTACATTCCCAGTCGCCACCATATATTCACTGATACGCCCTATTTGATGGGCAATGTTGGAAACAGTGTGGAGGATCAGGTGACCAGTGAGTCAACCGGCCTCCCAAATAGCTAGTTCTACCATGTGTCGTCCCAAGGTAGCAACGCACCTCGCTTCTCAGACGCGTGGAAATTTCATCTTCCTAAATTCAAGCAAGCTTTCGCAGGTTCCCAAGGACCGCGGCTGAGTGATATGTTCTCGGAAGGTCTGAAGTAGACCTCCGCAAAGCCCATAAAGCCCAAGGCCCAAGGCCCAACCCAACCCAACCCAACCCACTAAATGGTTGGGCTTTGGGCCTATCCTCGGGCCCACCGGTGGGCTATGGACCCGGGGTGAAAGCCCACGATGGGGAACCAAAGCCCATGATAAGCACCAAACAATACAAACATTCTAAGAAATGTGACTTTTTTAATTACCTTATGTTTAGACCCCGTTTTGAGCCCTTAGATTAGGCCCATTTATGGGCTTTGCGGAGGTCTAGTCTGAAGCCATTGTTTGAGGACAAGTATCCCGGGAAGACTCTGCAGTCTTTCTCGTTTCTTATAATAGACACGGACGTTCATTCGATCACACTAACTGGGGATTGGCTTTGATAGCTAATAGTGAGCCAGCAACTATAGCCTAGGAATAAAGTCTTGGTATGTCGGTCTGCAAAAGACGGATGGCCCCAAAGCACAGCTTAGCACATCGAAAGATTACCACCACTATCGGTCGGGGTTTGACTGAATTGGACAGCTTGGATAGCCTTGACTAGAAGACCTTGCAAACGGAATAAGTGCTGAATGGCAGCTCAAATATTGGTCTCTTTGGGATATATGTATGATTTGTACTTGTCTAGTTTACAAATTTGAACTGGTACCTACATGATTGCTTTCCATCACCCTCACATTTACCTATAAGATTGCACAAGACTCAGCAATAGCGAAATCTACCAAATAGTAAATCTACTCTAGCGCCGGATGTAGCTTGAGTATTTGCAATGATAGTCTTCAAAAGGATCGACATATTGTTTTATACATATGTAGCTGCTAGGACTAAAGTTTCCAGGGGTGTATCCAGATAACGCAATCTTCCGTGTATGAGTGGACCATATGTCCTCTTCCAAGAAAAACCTTACTGATGTTGTCTCTATCCTGCCTCATTCGGTTTCGAGGCTCAACTGCCTGTCCGAATGTCGTTGAATTAACCCTCCGTGCGTTTTCCGTTGATTCTGATAGGTCGACCCAGCTAGGGTCCTGTGGGGGCACATTTCGAGTTGAGTAGATTCGATAATGCGGGTCTACCAACCACAAAGTCGCAAATCGAAGATAGCCTGACCGAGATGGGTCTGCGAGACTGAAAGATTCAGCCTTGGATCGTAGTGTATTTGGCCAAGCAAGCAACTGTCCACTCCGTGAAACTGGGATAGATCCCAAGGTCTGCAGGGCGGCCGGGAAAGTATCATCGTCATATTCGTAAACATCAAAAAGTCGATCCATTGCAGTGTACTTCTTGCAATTGAAGGCATAGCTATCTATCCTTGTCTTCTGTTAGAATGAAACCTTTGCATCGTTGATGTTGTGCATATCGAAGTAGATGTGGCTGTAGAGGCGATATGCTCATCAAGGATACCAGCAACGTTGTAATGGGATTCACCACCAAACAGGGGTTTTTCGGGGGTCAATTCAATAGTTGACACTCGAACAATGATCTACAGACCCTCAAATTGATCTTGGAGAGATACAGAATAGTACTGGTAATCTGGATCGGGAGGTGGGAGTTTCACCCGGCTCACTGTATTTGGGCATGATAGCGCGGCCTGTATTTTCACCCGTCTTCCATTCATCGTATGTGAAGGAGATTCCTGGCTCAATTCCTCTCACGGAATACAGCCGACTCCATTTGGAGAGGACTGGTTCTTCCAGTTCTTTGGAAGGACTCCACTGCCATGGCTCCATACTGGCGATAATGTCATAGTACCCAGTGTCAGGCCATACGCGGGATTGCCTCTCGGGATCAGGGAGACTAAGATATTCTCTAACTCGCGATATAATACCAGGCCATTCTTCATCTGTGATGGGTATCCGTCCCTCCCTTGCGTTTTACAGGCAACGATGCACCTCGGGCCAATCATCCGAACCTTCGACTTGGAAGTCATAAGTCCTGATTCGAACTGGTGTCCGATCTTGGTCCCCAGAGATAAGCATTTCATTCCACGGCTGCATGGCAGCCGAAATGAGCCCTTCGAGCGCTTGGTATATACCCCTTTCCTTTGGATGCCCACCACTGACATAAGAGGGAATTTTAGATCCTCCTTGCTCGTTAAAAGTAATTTCACAAGGAAGGCATTGAAAGGCAGTCGACCAGTATCTATACTTTCCACAACGCCGGCAATCAGTTTTGCCTTTTTCTTCTCTCTCTTTGAAATGCATCTCTTCTTCTCTGTTGAATGGTTCTTGGGAATCGGAGCAATCTGAGACTGTGATGATCTCCAGGACTCCGGTCTCTCCACATCAACCTTTCCACCGTCGGTAAGAACTGGAGTGCGCCCATAAACGAGAGGATACATAAATGGGTCAACCACATGTCGAACTGGACTCTCAGAATCACCCCCAGGAGCATCAGCTGAGGTAGAAGACGAATCAGATCCCAATTTCGAAAAAAGCAGCGACATGGATTCGCGAAGCTCTCTGAGAAGATCGCCAGAAACCTGAGATTTGATGACTCGTAAGTTTGCATCAAACACAGCAACATAGCCAGTGCGTTTGAAATCAGACGCTTTGTCTCGCAACTCTCTTACACACCACTGCCATGAAGGTTCATCGAGCTCGAAGACCGAATCAGCGTGCTGGTGCCATTCTTCCAGTGTCTGCGGGTCCTCGCACTTGTTTTCCCAGCCTGGCTGTTCTGTGACATACGACATGAACTGCAGCATGGAAGCCTCTCGTACAAACAACTGGGGCTCTTGCATCCAATCGGCGATTCCATGTGCAAAGCGTTTGTCTTTTGGCTGCCATTGTACGCTTCATTACCTACTCAAATATCATATTGGTGCCATTGGGGATGTAAAGGCCAGAAATCAAAATCTCGGATGGCTTGTCGCGCTAAAATGGTCGCTTGCAGCCTAATAATATCCTCTAGTAAGCTTTCTAGATATGGAACTTTTTTATGTTAAGCTCAGCCAGTGAATAAGGGACGCTTTTCTGTGTAGAAATCGGTGTAAAACAACTGGGAATCGAGAACTTTCAAATCAAAGAAACAAAAGAGTTTACAGCAATTATGAGTCTCAATTTCACGTTCGGCTTACTAAAAATGTATTCATTTCCTTTTCCTTTTTATGAGAAGAATAGCAGAATTTAGGATAAGGTAAGAAGCAAGCACTGAAGCATTGAATGGCCTATCACTTTATTTTGAATTCCCACGAGGCTCTATCACTGGATCGAACTAAAAATAAAGTCACGCTCTAAAGATTTCCTAAGATTGCGAAAGGAAGAGATATAGAGCTCAAATATATGAACACAAAGCATCCCAGTTCATATTCATATCAACATCAAAAGCCGCCACCGAGACTGCAGGATTTGAATCTGAGTATATGGGCAAATTAATCTCAGTTGAGCTTCCTCCTGCTTGTGAGAATGCTCCGTCATCTGGCTTGGAGAGGCTTTCCATTTCTGATGCGCCTATGGGCTGCTTGCCGACTTTGTGGATCAGCTTGGCAAGGTTCTGTGCTCCCACGTCTGCCATATTGCTGACTTCTGCTAGCATCTGTAGGAGACTGAATGCATCTCGTATAGCCTTCATGCACCCTGCCCGGGTCAAGTTCGCCATACCGGCCCGAAGAAGATCAGTATTGATGATCCTCGAACTGTGGCTTTCGACGTCGCCAAGAAAATTTCGATCCATGATTAGTGATACCAGAACCACAGCAGCTTCGAACGCCGGTTGGATGATTTCTGTGTACCGTATTTGAGAACCGCCAATCAGAGAATGCAGTCTGGATACCCCCTGCAGAACATAGAGTGCAGCAACCGCCAGAGCCTTTTGCTGGCATGATAGCAAGTCTTGCTTATACTTGGGAAGATGTCTTCCATCCAACAAAATGGCTGGCCGGAAATTATAACAAAGAGTCTCGAATATCGATATGAAGAAAACTTCTCTTTGTTTTGCCAGATTCGGAAGTAGTTCATCCCACTGCTTGTTTGGTTGGAGGGCAAATGCGGATGGCAGCGTGGTCAGAAAATTACTGCATAGCTTTTCATATCTCTCTTCGGCAAGAATCACATCATATGTAGACCCTAAGGTTGGACCCATGCTCCTCCAGAAATTGGCTAGGCGAGCCTGAAGGATGCGCTCAGTGAATTCCTCGAGGCCATGGGCGTTATTGACATTGGAGCCAAGGTGCATGTGCAACATGTTCTCCTGCTCTGTGCCATTGGGTACCATAGGGATACGGTCCAATTGTCGTGATAAATAGCTGCAAAGTCAGCACTGGCTGTTGATCAGGTACATGACGATAAGGAAAATATATCCCTGCACTCACCTGTCCCATATATAGAGATTACAGAATACCTTGCGACAGGTTTCCTTCTCTGACTCGCTTTTATCTGGAATCATTACAAACCAGTCTTTATCCGCTCCAATACTTTGAGCCATCTGTATCGCGGACCTGAGCGTATCTTGGAAGTCCTTCATCCGCCCCCCACACTTGGCCTTTAATCCAATAAAGGCCAACTGTTGCACGCGAAGAAGACTTCCCTGAGAATTGAGACGGACACAGGTTTTCGTGAGACTGTCAGCAGCTTCATCGCAGGAATGGCGGATATCCGCCAGTGACATTCCACGGATCATTTCAATGGTACACGACGGAGAAGGGAGATATTCGCATGTATAAGAACATATCCTCAATATGAGGACCGCAAAATCAATCTCAAATAAAGATGATGGTATTTTGATAGTCCGCCAGCGTTGATATTCCTCTAGAATCCATGGAAGATGAACAAGCTGATCCATCCTAGACATCACAAGTCGGGCTGGTTAGTTTATGAGTTCCTAGTATAGTTCTTGAGGCTTCTCCCACATCATCTACAGTACTTACCAATTCACCTCGCGCGCGAAATATTTTAGTAAGAAGTCTAAGATAAGGCCGTCAGGAATATTGTGTAGACATTGTTGAATCTCCGCATCATCTTGATTGGACAACGCTTGACATTTGCGATTTTGGTCCTCTCCATCCCATTGCTCCACCTATCGATAAGACATGCCAATATTAGGAAACTTCACGCAGAATATTATCAAAATATGAAATTGTGAATTGACTTACCATCCGCAAAAGAGCTATCGTGTTAGTTTGGCTGTCTTCGGAAAAGCCAAATACATCTGTTAGAGAGGAAGACATTGCACGGCTTGTCGGACTGCTAATTCTTTCTAGCTCAGAAATGGCGTCAAGAGAGAGAAATCTCATGCTTCTATTTTGGGAATCTTTTTGATTCTCAGTGTGGCGATTGCGGAATTGCAACAGCGAAGTATTAGGGAATTGGATGTCTTCCGATGGATAGTATGCGCAGTGTTCCGGGCGACGGCGGTGGGTGCAGTGATTACAAGGGTACTGACGGTTACACTATACAAGTTAGGGCGGCTGTTCCGTGATTCTAAACAGAACTATGGTTCCTTCAATACCTTTTGCTTTCTGGTGTAGCAGGGAATGCAAGATGAGACCTTGCGTTTTCGCGAGGACTGCATCGGAGCAATAGCTGTGATAATTTGGCATTTGTCCCTCTGAAAATCTTGTGATGTGAAATCCGTGAGATAAGTCTTAATGATAGAAAACAGGTGTGTTTATGGCTCGAGACTTCCCCCTCCATATAGTTGTCACTTCTGACCGCCTTCTAATCCAAGGTTACACCTAGACCTCCCCAAACGCAGGTTTATGTTAGGGTTTCACTTTGGCCCCGGGGGTTACGGGGGTTGCCTATGGGTAACTCCGGGTTTTGCCACTCATGAGCTCTCGCCCATGGGTTTTTAGAGGGTACCCATGAGCCCAAAATAAAAACCGATGACTCTAGTGTAATTCTGGTATTGTCTGTTATTATATATTGTTCAAAAGGAATTGGATATTGATTCTGGGCAAGAGTCTTTTGCCAAGCCTGTCTTATTCTGCTCGATCACAACACAAAAAATAATGGGTGTTTTAACTTTGGTACTGATTTCCACGGGTTACACGTTATTATTGGAACATCTTTCTTAGCTGTAGGATTATGACGTTTAGATGCATACCATCCAACAGATCATCATGACCTTGGTTACGAATCAGATATATTATAGGACAAGCGCGATGAGTCGACACCAAAGATCCAATTCTTGCCGCAAGGGCAAGAAAAGGGGATCTCACCAAGCCTTGATCTCAGATTTGATGCAGAATAGTTCCATAAGAAAATCGAGTGGGAATAGGTTGACCACACTGCAACTTGAGGAGTAACTATTGAAGACTATCACTTGTCTGCGACTGCCTTTTCGAACCGTGGAGAACCCTGCGTTTCAAGGACTACTTAATCTAGTATACTATGGGCCTGGAGTTTCTAGAACTTCTATTAGCGAAAACCCTAAACCATGCGGAGATGACTACGGGATGCGGTCACAACTTAGTAAGAATTGCAATTACAAGATCTGCCTAAAGATGCCAAGGTATCACTTGCATTGGATTGTTCGACTGGTCCATTTTAGTAAGCATTTACGACGATCATAGTCTATTTCATTAACAAGGATTGGAATTACCGGGAAATGCTCCTTGAATTCGAACCCTTATATGGCCCTTATATAGGGATTAACCTTAGTGAGGCCCTTCATTAATTACTGAAGGCACGAAGACTCTTAGACCGTATCTTTAGTGTGACTATAGATAATGCAACCAATAATAAGACCCCGATTCAAGCTTTGTAAGAAAAGCTAATCTCTGCTGGCGCTATTGACTTAGAAAATCGATTATTCGGGTTCCTTATATGGCGCACGTCATTTAACTTTGCCTGAAATAGCTCTTGGGGCATATTAGGGTGACTTATAAGAATAAAGAAGTCATAGGTCAACCCTTGTTGGGAAGTACGATCCATCCCGTGTGGAAAGCCGGATTTTGCAAGTGCGAGTGAATCACTCGCCTCGAGTTCTAATATAAGCAAGCTTCTCAATCTTCAATTCCCCCTCTGACAGGTAATTAGGCCTAGCGTGGTACTACTAATGCTCTAGTCATACAGCGAATTTCTTTTTTCTGTAGGTCCTTGAGAAATCAAAGGCTAGCCCCAAGGAAAGATTGTGTTGTTGGCTATGTTAGGTGTTCTCTTGAGTAAATAGGTCTACTGGTATCGTGTACTAGTGGGTAGTTGCTTGACTATAGTGAGTGAAACTGGTGGCGAACGGCCTGCTCCCGCCCCCGCCTGCCCCATCGGAGGCATCCCTGGTGTAGAATAGAGCAAGCCTCCTTGATTGCCTATTCAAAGATACAAAGTCGATCAAGGTGAACTTTGTATCTAAAGAGGGACTCTTGCTACGATACCCCACGTCAAGGTTGGTTTTTTCGCCACTAATTCGTCAAATCGTAGGGCTAGCCCATTGGTTCAAGGTGGATTGTGCGGTTTGCTAACGGAGTGCAAGCATACCTGCACTACTCGCAAAAAGTCGCAATGCACATGTAAGTTTAGAGCCATACTTTCTTATTTGGAGATATTTGTGGTATCATCCATCTGTATATCGTAATAAAACCGACAACATTCAGGCTTCACCGGGTTGCCAGCAAGTAGAGTCGAACCAGCAGGACCCCAGTGGTATGCTCTCAGCAATCCTTTGAGCAGGCTTTGATATGAATATTAGAGCAGATTCCAGCACCGCACCTACTGTGTATACCTACTACCGTCTAATTAACTTTGCATTTCTGTAGGGCCATGGTTATGTTTTAGGAGTAGCAAAGCGCGTTTTTCTTTTCCAGTTTTGATTTGAGCAAAAAACCATTACTATTTTCACACAATGGTTATAGACCCAGCGAGGCAAGGGAAAATCTCACTTTTGCGGCAATCGAAGGACATATCGGGCCAGTGAGGCTGATACTGATACTAGAGAGATCTACACTTTAGGGTGTGAAATGATTAAATATAGAAACCGAGAGTGTAGATTCAATAAGCAATAGATGGACGAAGGAGAGAGAGAGAGAGGGCAGGGCAAGCTTATACAAATCTGTCACTCTTAAGATCACCGTTCAGACCACAGTGGTCCTAAAACTGATCACTCATCAATTTCTGTGAGCTAAACGTCTAGTCGAGCATTTAGCAGCCAAGATGATCCGAACACCAACCAGACTAGAATAGCTGTTCTTCCTGAGAGCCTTTTAGCGCAGCAAGTAGACCTCAAGCAGACCCATAAATTCTTCCGGGTAAAAGTTGCGAATCTCATATCGCTCATCCGCTTCCTTCAACAGTGCAGCAAATTCAGACTGGGTACGTAGCTTGCCACCAAAGATAACCATCAATAAAACGTCTGCCTGACGAAGGCCACGGTTGAAATTACGCGTTAATGTCCCATGCGGAGGCAAAACAACATCATTGATAAGTAGGGGTGTGGTAGGCTCCGAGCGCTCAAGCCCCGGCACTAGCGCACGGAAAATGGCGACAACGTCGCGATCACACCAATTCAACGCACACATACGTAAGAGAAATGCCGCAGCATCTCCAACCGGCTGTGGATCGAAAAAGTTGTGCTGCATGAAAGAGACTTGATCTTTGGTTTGATCGGTTAGAAGCGACTGCCCGGCCGCGTGCATGTCGACCGTGTCTTGAACAATGAATTTGAGGTCAGGAAAGCTCTATAACAAGCTGAGTTTAGTCGAGCTCAAAAGAGATCAAGTCATTGCTTTTTGTTCTCTTACCTGGGCTAGAGTGATTGAGACCTTGCCACTTCCGCCGCCAACATCCACTACAGTGCCCTTGATCTCATTCCACGGAAATGATTCTTTGAGCGCATTGAGGTTGAGATTCACTTTTGCGAGTCAGAGACATGCTAAAAAGGAAAATAGGCGAACATACATTTTGACCACCCAGCCATGGCTTTGGCAAAACGAATAGATCGTTGGGTATCTTTTTCATAAAATTTGAAAGGGGGCATGCCATGTCGTGTGCAGAATGGAGTTAAAGCGCTGTCGTACTTGAGCGGCGATGCCATCACATTATCAGCAGTGGCCGAGGCAGCCTTGAACATCTCGTCCATGCTGTTACATGAATAGAATCGTCAGTACAACCTAGATCACGGCCATCTAACACTCTCATAGTAGGTAGTCTGGTATTCATAAGGGCAAACATACGTGTATTGCATAGTTGAACGAATTTCCTCATCCACGTGCAGGAGATAGGAACTTGTGTTGTGCTTGATATACCCCTGGGTTGGCTCTTCGAAGATGAATTTTGTCACTAAAAGCCTGACAATACGGCGTGTCCGATCAAGATCAACACCGGCTTTTTCTGCCAAGGCCTCGATCGATATTTGATCTTCGAGGGGAACAATCTCGAAGAACTTAAATTGCAAAGCCACTTGGATTGCCGCAAGCTCGTATCCCTCGCAGCAAATATCCCACACGTGTCTCTTTGGACCTCGAACAAGGTGCAACAGATCTTCAAGAGAGTTTTTGAGCTTTCCATATAGCACAGTATATTCGACCGTCTCGGGATGTCCAACATAATCAGCTGAGAGGGTGGGTTGGGGACAACCGTTGGATTGCAGGTACTCCGTAATTTCTTTTGTCATTTGAGTGATGTCCTCGGCGAGTGAAAGTAGATTAGCTCTGTTGACAGTGTCAACAAGTAGCCCATTGAAATCGTGTGACATGGTTAAAGATTTGAGTCTTTTAGGAGTTGGAAATGATATATCGTATCCGGAGCAATGAAGAGGAAAGAAAAACCAACCATCAATCAACTATTTATGTCATTTACCTACAATCGACTAATTCATAGTGCCGGATCATTCACACGACAGAGCATCCCTGCTGGTCGGCAGCCCACGGAGTTTCCCGTTTCGGTTGTTCTTCTGCCCCATAAGCTGAGTACACTGGCCGAGGCTCCAGTAGCCGACATTTTACGGGCATGAAATACCCTGGAGGGGATCTCATTCCGTATCTATCTTGACCAATAAGAAAAAAGTTGGTCTAGTTGACTTTGTGACTGATAGATGTAGGATTGTCATGCCGCAGGATCTCGGATATCAAATTAGATCAAAGTTACTAAGTAGTAGACCTACATAACATTCGACGCTATTGAGTCATGCACTTACTACCCATTCAGGCTTTCAGTTGACGGAACGGAAAAATTCTCCAGTGCTTGTTCCACAACTTCTACTTGGCGGCCGAAAACCTTCGGCCGATATTGTTTTTCGGCCGCTATTATGCAGGTACTTGGTATCAATGCCACATCTCTCCCTACCTAGACGGCGCATTTTGTATACCCGCGTGTTACCTTTTGCTTGAGAACCAACGTATTCACGCCGGTTCGAACGGCGCACAAAGCTGGCTCCTTTAATTATATATATATATAGTGCATAATTTCTTCGGATTTTTAGTTTATAGATCAATGACAATCGCGAATGCTCCTTATCTACATCAATCGAAGAATACGATATACCCAAGTACCACCGTATTACGCACGTTTTCTTTTTTGACTTTGCAACAAGCAAATATGTCTGAAAAGCGTGAACTAGAGTCAATTGCTATTGTGGGCATGGGTAGGTGATTTCAATATCTGGAAATCCTTTGGAATATGCACTTATGTCTCTTTCAGGGTGCCGTTGGGCAGGAGGGATTCGTGATACATCCGGTCTCTGGGAATTTTTGATCAACAAGCGATCCGGATACCAGGACTGGGGCGAGCCTCGCTTCTCAGCCAAAGGATTCTATCACCCTAACCCAGAGCGTCCAGGGACCACAGCCGCCAAGGGTGGCTACACTATAACCGAGGATCCTCGACTTTTTGATCCGGCATTTTTTGGAATCTCAGGTCTTGAAGCAGAAACCATGGATGCGTCACAACGAAAACTCCTAGAGGTGGTTTATGAGGCTTTTGAAAATGCTGGAGAGACCTGGGAGAGCATCAATGGGGCACGCATGGGAGTATACGTTGCCGACGTCTCAAACGACAATTTATTTGTACAAACCCGAGACTGGGAATATGCGAGGCCACATGCCTCCACTGGCGTCTGCCACAATATGCTGAGCAACCGCATCAATTACGTTTTCAACCTGATCGGCCCAAGGTGAGTGGCCTATCCTTATTTGTCCTCTGCCCTCTCCGCCAGAAGCTAAATCATCATATGATAGCGTTACTCTTGACAGCGCTTGTACCTCCGCCATGTACGGCCTTCACATGGCAATGCAAGCCATTCGTGGCGGAGACTGTGATTCTGCTATCGTGGCCACAGCAAACTGGATTATGGATCCAGCTATGCAGATAGCCATGGACAAGCTAGGGGCTTTATCCGGTACTTCCATGAGTCATGCATTTGATGCTTCTGCAGATGGCTATGCGCGAGGCGAAGGATTTGCCGCTATATACCTAAAGAAGCCCGAGACAGCCATTAAGAATGGCTCTCCCATGCGCGCTCTCGTCCGTGGTAGCGCTATCGGTGCGAACGGCCGTTCAAGCGGCATCACCAATCCGAGTGGTTCCGCCCAGGAGGTAATAATTCGCAAGGCATACGAAAACACCGGTGGGCTAGACCCCTCGCAAACGCCATTCCTTGAGTGCCACGGAACTGGCACACGTGTCGGTGACCCTATCGAAATCGAAGCGGCCGGAAAGGTTTTTGGGCCTGGACGATCTGACGCGCCAGAGGACCGCCTACTTATCGGATCCGTCAAGACAAACCTGGGTCACACTGAGGGAGCGGCAGCTCTTGCTGGAATCTTCAAAGCTGTACTCGCATTGGAGACCGGTGTTATTCCGCCCAGCATTGGAGTGAATACGCTGAACCCCAAAATTGACTTCGAGAAGGCCAAGGCTGAAGTAGTCACTGAGGTCATTCCATGGCCAGAAGGCAAGCTACGACGAGCAAGTGTCACATCCGCCGGTTTCGGGGGTTCTATTGGACATTGTGTCCTTGATCACGTCAATATTTTATATCCGGACTACGTAAAGCCGGGAATATCGGGCACCGCAACACTCAATGGCAGCTCGGTCAAACACTCTGCTGCAAATCAGAATAGTGTGACCCATACCAACAGGTCAAATGGACATTATAATAGCCATGCAAATGAAATCAGCAACACGATAGCGGAGACCAAGCGTATTACGATTCTCCGGAAATTCCAGTCAAAGGCAGTAGCTGATGCTGACACTCGCCAAATGGTGCTTTTACCATTCGCAGCACACAAGGACACCTCTCTCAAGTTGAACATTGAGGCACTGTCTAGTGTTATTCACCAGCACTCTTTGGCAGATGTCGCGTACACTCTAGGAGCCAGACGATCGAAGCTTGCTCAACGAACCTTCCGCGTTGTGAATACAAACGACGCTGCTCAGGGGCTTTTGAATGATGTCCAAAGGATCTCCACGGCTGCGCCCGAGACTATAAGTCTGGGCTTCGTCTTCACGGGTCAGGGAGCGCAGTGGCCCGCCATGGGTGCTGAGCTCTTTGAATATAATGTATTCCGCACTTCCATTGAGTATTTGGACAGCATTCTTTCAGCTGTGGCAGGAACTCGGTCTTGGACGATTGAAGAAGTATTGTCGGGGAAATCTGGACCTGACTTTGTGCAAGCACCCGAGGCCTCGCAGACGGTATGCACGGCAGTGCAGATTGGTTTGGTGAACCTGCTCGCGTCTTGGTCTGTCTATCCTTCGGGAGTGGTGGGTCACTCTTCAGGAGAGATAGCCGCTGCATATGCTGCTGGTCGTATCAGCGCCGCGGAGTCCATCGCAGCTGCGTATTTCCGGGGTCAGATTGTCTCTCAGAACAAACAGCGTGGTGCGATGCTGGCTGTCGGTATGAGCCTAGAGCAAGCAGCTAAGTATCTCGAGGGCATCGAGCAGGACATTAAAATTGCTGCCATCAACTCGTATGAAAGTCTCACCCTATCTGGTGAACAAGAAGTTGTCGAGAAACTCTCGGCAACACTCAACGAGGAAGGAGTGTTCAACAGACTGCTTAAGACCGGCGGCAATGCTTACCACTCGCATCATATGATCGCACTAGGCCAAGAGTACGAGAATCTACTCTCAAAGGGGCTTACTCGCCTCCAAAGTCTTGGACTACTCGATGAACAGGATCGATATCCATGCATCTCCTGGACCTCGTCAGTCACACTGCATAAGGAAATCACTACAAATAGCGTCCCGGTAGCTTATTGGAGATCTAACCTCGAGTCTCCTGTTCGCTTCGCAGATGCAGTTGTGAATCTAGTTCAAGATGAAGATCTAAATATTGGAGCACTGGTAGAGATTGGACCCCATCCCGCACTGAAAGGCCCTGTGAACCAAGTGCTGAGAGGTATTGGGAAGGATATCCCGTACACCGGGTCACTCACTCGCGGAGAGGACAGCAGACGATCTATCCTACAGCTCGCTGGGTCGCTATTTGGGATGAATGCGCAGATCAATCTTACCGCAGTGAATGCCACAGACGGCACGAGTAACGAGAAGCCAGTGCTCACACACGGCACTATGGCCGTCGACCTTCCACCATATCAGTATGACTATGGGCCAGTGAGCTACTACGAGAGCCGCGTCAGTAAGGAGTTTCGCCTTCGCAATGTTCAAAGGCACGACTTGGTAGGTTCCAAGGTGGCTGGGAATGCAAAGCTCCGGCCTCAGTTCCGCAATATTCTCAGATTAAAGGACCTTCCCTGGCTCAGTGATCACCGTATAATGAAAGACGTTGTCTTCCCAGCAGCTGGCTTTGTATGCATGGCTATGGTTGCCGCCTCACAGCTCTATGAGGAATACCTGAACGCACTGCCCATCGCGGGATTTTCACTCCGCAATGTGGACATCAAGGCGGCACTCAGAATCCCCGAAGATCAGCACGGAGTAGAGGTTGTGCTGAGCTTGGAGTTGACTAGTGAGAGCACCGTACATGCCCCATCATGGACGACCTTCTCCGTCAGCTCCGTTACTCACGACTCGGGGGAATGGACCGAGCACTGCACCGGTCAGATCAAGCTGGAGATCTCAAATATTGCCGAGACCAAAAGAATGGATTTCGGAATTGAGTCTCGAGTTGTGGACTCGCGAGCCTGGTACAAGACTCTCGCATCCATCGGACACAGCTACGGGCCTGCTTTCCAAGCCCTCTCAGCAATTCGTACAGCCGAAAACCTGGCGTCGGCCAGTATCAGATTGAATATAACAGCCGGTATGGTCAAAGGAGGCGAATCCGTGTATCCGATCCACCCCACGTCGTTGGATGCCATGATCCAGCTTGGTCTCCTCGCTTGCCGCGGTGGGCAAATAGAACGGGCAACTACGGCATTTCTACCCATCCATTTCTCACAAATGCATCTACGCACTGGCAATCATCAGGAAACTTCTCTTCAGGGAACTGCTCTCGCTCATGGTGAGCTCCGGGGCCTGCGATCTGCCTACCTCCAGCTCCAACTACAGAACCAAGCAGGGGAGCTGCTCCTCAATATAAAGAACCTCCGCTGTATCAGTCATATGCCGGAAAGCCAATTTCCCGCCGAGGGTCCCAAAATTATCAGTCCTTTTATGCGCATGATTTATAAACCTGACTTCCGTGCGTTGAGCAACCGGCAGTCACGCAGCCTGTTTCCACCTCCAGCCGAGAACGCTTCCAAGGTCCCGATACTTAAACTTCTTGACAGTATTGCAGCGTTCATCACATTAGATGCGTACGATACGTTGATAGGCAATGTTGACATCGAAATACATACATCCGGCATTTTGGGACATTACATCGCATTGTTGAAAAAGCTTGTTGATGAAACTGGATCACCCCAGATTACTGAAGCCAAAGCGCTCACTCTTGACCAGCGCTCTCAGGCACTCGGAAGGCTTTACGAAGAGGCCAGTGCTATACTAGAGACGACGGTTCTTCGGCGTCTGCATGAAAGCATGTCTGATATTCTGCAGGGCAAGAAGACCGGCGCAGAGATCTTAAAGCAGGATGGACTGCTGGCTGATTACGTTGAGAATAGCCTGTTTATCACTGGTGTCTACTCCCAGATCACGAAGCTTTTGGACAGCATCGGGCACGCTGATCCTAATATCAAGATCCTGGAACTTCGGGGAGGACGGGGACGCGTGGCTGGGTTAGTGCTAGAGGTTCTTAGTAGCACAACCGGCATCAAGTGCTACCAGGATTACACAGTGACGGACGACTCCGAAGCTGCACTCCGGGGGGCTCAGCTTCAACTCGCCAGCTACAAGGATATAAAATTCTCCGTGTTGGACATAGAGCAGGACCCACTGGCGCAGGGACTTGAGCCAGTCTACGATGTAATTATCGCCTCGCAGGTCATCCATACGGCCTCGTCAATCGTTCCTGCTCTCAAAAACGCCGGGAAGCTACTGAAGCCGGGTGGAAAGCTCATCCTGGCTGAGGCCACAGGAGACAGCGCCTGGGTCAGGCTCATCGGCGGCACCCAGCCCGGCTACTGGGGCAAGGCAGGGGACGGTCGCATTGATGGACCATTCTTGGATACCACCGAGTGGGATAGAGCCTTGAGACTGGCTGGCTTCTCTGGAGTAGACGTGTGTTTGGATGATTACCCATCTCCGACATTGCATTCGAATGTCCTAGTTTCGACCCGGATTATCCCAGATGCCTCTCCCTCGTCCGGGGTAGTCTGGCTGCTCCACGGCAAGAGAGTCCCTGGTTTGCTGAAGCAGCTCGCAGGTGATCTGGAGAGTCGCAAACTACTCACAAAGACCATGCCGCTGGGGAGCGTCCTGACCGACCTGCCTGCCGAAGCACGCGTGATTGCCTTCTTAGACGACGAGAACCTATTGTTGGATGCTAGCGAACTGACTTTAAATATCTTCAAGTACCTTGCATATAACACAGCGTCTATGGTGTGGCTGACGTCAACTGGCATGATTCAGGGCCGTAGCCCCGACGGAGCAGTGGTGGGAGGCCTCTTACGCACGATCTCAACGGAGGTACTGACAGGGCGCTTCTGCTCTGTCGACATCGATGCCGATCACTTCGATGTCGGAGAATTGGACACGAACGAGCTGGTTCGGACTCTCGCGGACAAGGAGCAGGAACTCCAGCAGCGGAACGATAACCAGAGTGAAGATCGGGAGTTCGCCTGGCACAATGGCTGTCTGTGGGTAAGTCGGTTGGTCCCTGAGGCCGCGTTGCACGGATATGCAGAGCGCATTCAGATGCCCGCAACCCACGGCGTCCAACTCTTGCCTCTTGGCAGCCGGGGACCAGTGCGCGCCGCTTTTGAGACGTCGGGGATGCTCAGTTCGCTCTACTTCAAGCCTTACACCGAGTTGGCCCATCCTCTCCCGCAGGATTCGATTGAGGTCAAAGTGGCCGGTGTAGGACTGAATTGGAAAGATTTAGCAGTCTCGACGGGCCGCTTTGATATGAACAACCTTTCTTCTGAGTATTCCGGTGTCATCACGAGAGTCGGTGCAGAAGCAGCCTCTCGCTTTGCCGTGGGTGATTTGGTATACGGTCTGGGTGAGGGCCACTTTGGCAACTATACACGCGTGCCTGGCGCCCTCGCGCAGAAGGCGCGCGTCGGCGACGATCTGCTCAGCATGGCGACGATGCCGGTCGTCTTTATGACAGCAATATACGCATTTGAGCATCTGACGCGCCTGCGCCGTGGCCAGAAAGTCTTGATCCATTCTGCGTCGGGTGGTGTCGGTCTCGGTGCAATTCAATTAGCACAAGCCAAGGGTGCTGAAGTTTATGCGATGGTTGGAACACCAGAGAAAGCACGCTTCTTGGTTGGAGATGTTGGCCTCCCACCATCACATGTGTTAACGCGCGAACCGGAAGAGTTTGCACGAGCCACCGTCGCCACTGGCGGCTTTGATGTGATTCTGAGTACGGCCCAGGGCGATAGGCTTTATGAATCCATCCAGGCGCTCGCTCCCCTGGGCCATCTCATTGATCTCGGCCGGTTGGATGTCATTGGTGCTAGAAGAATTGGTCTGGAGCTGTTCCAGAAGAGTGCCAGCTTTTCGTCGTTCGATCTCACTCAGCTGGTGCGTCATGACTTGGGGCTTGGAGCTGAGCTCATACAGGCCGTGGATGATCACTATCGGGCTAATAATATCGGTCCCATCCGGCCGATGTCTGTTTCAGATATCTCCCAGCTCGATCAGACACTGCTCGGTTTCTCCAAGGGTACCCATGTTGGCAAGCTGGTAGTGAGCTTCCAGGATCCTAACACGCTTGTCCGGACTGTTTTAGCACCCCCAGCGGCCCAATTTGACCCCAAAGCTTGTTATGTTGTCACCGGTGGTCTGAGTGGTTTGGGGCGGTCGGTTATCCAATGGATGGGCAACAGGGGCGCTCAAGAAATCGTGGTATTGTCTCGCCGTGGTTCCCACACCCCAGATGCGCAGACACTTGTCGATGCTATGACCAAGCATGGGGTGCGTGTCCACCCTGTGGCTTGTGATATCAGCAGCTTGAAGCAGGTTGCACGGGCCATCAAAGAAGCATCCTCCATTCGACCGGTCAAGGGTATTGTCCATTGCGCGGTATCATACCAGGACATTTCCTTCGATAAGATCTCTCTCGAGGGCTGGCGTAATGGTCTTGCTGCAAAAGTGCACGGAACATGGAATTTGCACGAAGTCACGAAGGTCCTCCCACTGGATTTCTTCATCATGACCACTTCGATCCTCTCGGTTCTCGGCTTCGCAACTCAGGGTGCCTACACAGCCGCCAACAATTTTCAGGATCAGTTTGCGCGCTATCGCCGCCGTCATGGCCTGCCTGCTACAGCCGCCCAGTTTGGATTAGTCAACGATGTAGGCCACCTCAGTACTTCTACCACGACACTCCAGTTGATGACTCGCAATAAGGCTCTTACCGTGCCAGAGAGCTACTTCCTTCGCCTGCTGGAACCAGCGTTCATCGGCGATGTTGGCTTGCAATTCAATGGTGCTGCAGTTGACCCATTAGCAGCCGCGACATATGTGACCTCCATGGATCCGGCGCAAATGGCCCAGAAAGAACGAGAAAATACCGAGTTTGGCATCCGCAGTGCCGCCCAACCACGTTGGTACAGTGACGCGCGTGTATCACACGTGATTCGCGGGCTCGACGACGTGATGCGCCATAATCGAGGAGATGAGAAATCAGGATCAGCCGGAGACTTAAAAGGCGGGCGCTTAGCCACTACCCGAACGCGTCGCAAATTTGATGATTTGGTTCAAAAAGCGCGTACCGCATCTGACGAGAATCAAAAGTTTGAGCTGCGCGCCCTGGCGCTGCAGCTTACTTCACAGTGGATCGCCACCACAATCGCAACAATGCTGCTGGTGGATATATCATCTATTAATACAGCTCGTGCTGTGACTGACCATGGTCTGGATAGTCTCATTGCGGTAGAGTTGCGCAACTGGTTCCACTTGGCTCTTGGATTCAAGGTTACTATGCTAGATCTTCTGGACTCGCGCACCAGTATCAAATCCCTGGCCGCAAGGGTGGTTGATGCTGTGGACTTTAAAGGATGAATGTATGACAAGAGATTACTTTAAACATCAGATAAATGACATTGATCAGTAAGACACTGCTTTGAGGGTGATGTGAGGTTAGAATTAGAATGAACGAACAGCGGATTTGACAGGACTATACAGATAAGAAGGACGCAGGGGCCTAGCGGCCAATATGGGCAGCGTTGGCGGACATCTGGGGCAGGCCAAGCGATGTTAGCAAAAAAAGACTACCCAAACGACTACCCAAAAGACTGCTGGACTGCTGGATAGACTGCTGGAAAAGCCCATGTCGGAAAATATGTAGTTTGGTCTCAGTGTTTGATTTGATGGGATGTTTACAGAATCAAAATTCTATACGGAAGGTAGCAAAATAGCAAGTGCACGTGAAAGGTGAATTACAGGCACGAATGTCCCTAAATAGGAAAGAGTACACTTTACTTTAGATCAAAGTGTTGCATTGCACAAGAAAGCCTCAAAAGTTAGCAAGCACCTAGTCGCCTAACACTAACAGTTAAAGTAAAACAACTTCTTCCTTCTCTTCGTCAATTAGAATAAATCCTTCATCCACTCGTTCAGCCTTGCCTTTTACCATCTGCTCTTTTGAACCAATCCTCTCGCATCCAGGGGGCATGAGAATCAAATCAAAAGGGCTGACATGACTATCAAGAGATAGTCCCCATATTGAAACTCGATTGATCCTCAGGCGGTAAAAACTACCGTCATCCAAATCATGAAAATCCTTAATGAATTTCTTCTTTTCTCCTTTCGTAAGCTCAAATCCCCGGGCTTGGTGACAACATCCACATGCCATCATACAATGTCCAGCTCCAAGCTGTCGTGTCTCATCAGTCTTGCGATCAACGCAACACCTGCAGGTAGGGCTACAGCATCCTCCCCTTCTCACGCAATCCTCCACCAGAACTTGGTACATATACCATAGAGGATGTGATCGCCACAGGTCAAATGCTCGTATCAGGGGCCCCTCCACGAATGAACTTCGGACTGTCCACCAATGTCGTTCCAGCAACCAATATCTCTTACTCAAAGCTTGAAGCTCGGCCTGTACATCATTCCTGCAGAGTGGCCAGCTGCCTGCAGTCTCGGGATTCTTAGCAATCCATTGCTCTTCCTAGACAGTACTTCTAAGGTCTTGTTCTATCCGGAGAAGCTCAACCGCTCGATTGAGTCGTATAAAGTTCAAATTCAGAATCTAGGTTTATTTTAGCTACATAAGTATATTTTTCAATTTTAAAGAAAATCTGATCGGTGGAAGTTTAGATATTATAGAAAATGTGAAAGTTGATATCTTAATATTAGATATATATTTGATTTATGCGGGAATACCACCACTTTCTAGAGAACCTCTGTAATTTTAAAAAATTATAAATACACGAATTTGTCGAGTTTTTAAATATGATATAGAGAAATAACTAGTAATCGATTCTAGATCATTTAAACTAATATAATACTACATTAGGGATGAGGCTTAGAAACGGTGCTAAACATAGGGTAATTAAGATAACCTAGAAAGGGGGTTTAACTTGGCATATTTGTGTTGTTTGGGGGCTAATGGGCCCCCATTCAAGCCCTATGGGCTTTTACCATAGGCCCAAAGCCCAGCCTATTTACGGTTGGGTTGGGTTGGGCTTTGGGCTTTGTGGGCCGGTGCGGAAGTCTAGGCGGAACAGCACTGTTGATTCCAACACTTTTTTATGACGGTGAAACAAGGGTGGCTCTGTGTAGGGAACAAGCCACGTTGAAACCGAGATTCAATTTCCTCATAGTCTTCACGACTATTAAGTTCTGGGAAAACTTCATGTCCTTTCATAATAAAGAAGATAGCGGAGCCGAGCGCAAATATGTCAGTCTTTACATATGCCACATCCCCATCACGTGGCATATATGATTTTGTGCACTCCCGATCAAGTCCGTCTAGTAGAGTTTCATTTTCGAGTGACTTGAGCATACCCTGAAAGTCAGCAAGCTGTAGATCAAGATTTTGATCAAGTAGGAAATGTTCAAATTGATGTCACAGTGAATGACATGTTTCCCATGAATAAAACCGACTGCTTCTGCAGCTTGCTTGGACTAACGTAGTCCTGTATCGAAAGAAAGGAAGGATTGGGATGAGATGTAATCGCTCAAAGATCCATTTGATGCTCGTTGTAGAGCAAGACCGTGTTCGGTTAGGCCTCTTGAAGCGATAATTCGGGGATGGCTTCCGGGGACTTCGAGAATCTTCGCCTCGATACGAACGCTTTCTAGTTCGCTATCGCTAGGAATGCATGGATATTTCAAAACCATGGAATCATCGATAAGACCAATGAAGCATTGGCCACCGCGCGTAATGATCTCCAAAACCCCTGGAGGGTAATATCGATGGATTTCGACAACCGTAATATGGGACGTATCATCTCCCTCGTCCACGACCCTAGACGAGTCGCCCTATATTTATTAGTTAAAACATAACAAGTAGAAAAAGATTTAACTAAGAGTTGCTGAGCTTAGAGTGTCGGAAGCTTTAGTCGATGATAAAGTCTTTAGAATGGATCCAAAGACATTCTACAGGGGCTTCCATAGTATTCGAAATACAGAAAGTATTATTGGAGGAAAAATCTGATTTGAGCATTTCAGTATAGCAACTAAATACCTTTGGAAGCGAAAGGGGTGAAAATGACCCTGAATACCAAACAATCTGGGCTGGGTCGTAGAGGACTTCGATGCAAACAATACAAACAGACAGCTACATAATAAACCGCCTTGGATCGATGCACTTTATGGTGACCAGGAATATGGAGAAGATACATAATCATGTTTCTATCAATAAATGCTTAACTACCATGACTGGAGATCACAATGGACCTAAAATTTATAAGATATTTATGTTCCTGACTCCGAGCCTTGTACATTGTGCCCTAAACATAGTTCATCTGATGTTGTGGCTTGGCGTTACTAGGGAGCTTAAGCCACAACGATCATAAACAAGGTAACCGATATAAACATACAGTTGTCTGGGAATTTTATTCGTGTGCTTTAAGGTCCAATTGTTGCTTTTAGCCTACTTGAAATTTTTAGCTTAAGATTATATATTTATGACATAGTGGTGGACTAGCTTGTACTTAGAAAGCAAATATATATTTCTCACATTTACAGCAACATATAACCAAAATGTCAATTATAAACGAACAGTCCAGCAAATATCTTGCTTTTTGAGCATATGAATAGTGAAAATAATTTCATTTATTTTTTAGAGAACTGATATTAGATATCATAAGTCAAAGTATACCCTTTTTGGTTCCAGGATCCAGTACGATATCTGCCTGCTGGCTATATGGCTAGAGATTCGTCTATCAAAACACTATATAACTGTTTTACAACCAAGTTTATTGTATAAAACTAGTCATATAATTATTTTCATGCACAATTGTCCAAGATTTTCTTAATAATAAGTAACAAAACCTTTATTGATATAAGAACCTCCCCGGCAACGTTGCACAGTAGATGATTAATTTAATCATGCAATATACACTTGTAAATGATCAATTCAATCATGGAGTATATAGTTGTAAATGATCAATTTAATCATCGAGCATATACTTGTAAATTATCAATTAAATGGTAGCCAAGTTGATACAATTTTGACAGTATACTCTGGAAGGGTGGATTACTAAATTACTGCTGGCAATATTATCCAATGGGAGAGTTGTGCGGGGTCCTCCAGGGCTTGGAAGGGGTTAAGCTTCTCAACGCAATCCGACCTGAAGACAAATTGGATCTCATAACCCCCGAAATTCCCACCATGGCAGATCTCAAGCCGCCATTTACCGAGGAGACTGCGCAGAAAAAAGTCAAAGCAGCGCAGGATATGTGGAATACGAAGTACGTCTCAGATTTCTTATCGCTATGACCCTTGATAGACCATGTGGTCGAAAGAAGGGCCTTGAAGGTTTCATCCCTTGCATTCTTCCCGACTTGTATTATTTTGTCTGTGCAGATCACCCTGGGCATATGTGAGCATACCTCTAACGGGAAGGGCGTTGCGTTTTTGAGATGAAATATTGTTTTGGCAAAAATAGATGACGTAGTGATTCCATCGCCCGCTCTGACCATGCTGCGATTAGGGACCCTGCCCGAGTCGCTCAGGCATACACCCCAACGTGTATCTGGCGTGTTCGAGACTCGTTCTTTACCGGAACAGAGTCTATCGTTGCGTTCTTGGAAGCGAAATGGAAACGCGAGCGGAGCTATCGACTTCGGAAGGAACTTTTCGCTTTTTGGGATGATCGGATCGCTGTGCAGTTTTGGTATGAGTTTCAGGATGCGCAAGATGGAATGCGCTGGAAGAGGTGCTATGGGTTGGAAGACTGGACTTTTGATGAGACTGGAAAGATGCGAAAACGTATGATGAGTGGGAATGATGTCCTGATCGGACCGGAAGGGAATGGCGAGGGACGATGGTTTACAGATGGTGTTAATGTGAACGATGTGCCTATTAGTGAACATCATTGGTGATGTTACTATGGATATGAATGTATCTGAATAGTTGAACTGGATCTGAGTATGTATTGTTGCACCATTAGTGCGGAGTTCTATATAATGTTCATATAAAGAAGGCCAGAAAGTGTTCTGTGGAGCTTTATCTGGACTCTTAATTTGACCCGGAGAACTGGATATTAGAACATGAAGAGCTTAGGGGTATGGAATGCTCAGCACAAATAAACCCCCTGCAAGTAAAATGGCTTTGTAGCCCTGGAGTTGAGGGTTGATTTGTTGTTATACCCCTTCTTTCGGGGAATGTCATCTCGCCTGTCGATCGCAATTGATGTTGACCATGAGAGAGCATTATACGAGTTCAAACTGTTCAATACGTATTGATAATATGAATCTGGAATAATAAGAAAAAAAGAGGAAGAAAAAGAAAAGTATCCATTCATATAGGCGCCAGTGGAAGTATAGAGGTGTGAAGTGCGAATAGTGACAGTTCGGACGGTTCTGCCTCGTTAGTGTCGTAGGTCAAATCCAACAATTACAATAGGCAAACATGCCCAGGTGTATACATATGGAGTCAAATAATAGTAAACAGATAGTAAACAGTAAACAGCAGACGGTGCTAAGGACATTCCGATGGGAAGGAAGGAATCCCTCTCATTCCAGTCCAAGCATGCCAACCTCTTCTTCAACGACACTTTCAATCTTCCCCCCCTCCGTCTTGTGTTTCCATCTCATTTTCAGTCGTTTGGGGTTTGTCGCTTGAGATCTTTTGTCTTTTTTCCCTTCTACCGCTGCATCTCCGTCGATGATGTGGCGTTGACCAGTCCTTGTCACTCTTTGGTCTTTTTCGTCTTTCTTTGCCAGAAAAATCTGGAGTCGATCTTTACACCTAACTTCTTCTCGTTGACAGTCGGAAGAAGTTGTATTTTCTTTTGCGTTTTACCTAATTTACTGTGCGTTGGGTATCGATATCTTTGTTGAACGTTAAATGGGCAGCTAATCGGGGTATAGTTTGACGACTAATCACCCAACTTTGAGCAGAAGTGGAAAGCCTTGGATAACGCCAACATGTCTCACACCAGATCTAGCATGGACCAGAGAATGTCGGAGTTTAATGAGTCTCAGAGAAGGCGTCAGCCCTTGGGAGATGTGTCGAGCCGGATGAACCACTCCAAGTCGCCAAATGTTGAGACACCGAGCCTGAGAATCGAAGAATCCGAGCAAATGAAGAGTCCTGATCGAATGTCTCTTTGTATGACTCCAACCCCGCAACGGAACAAGGAGAATGAGCGCCTCTCCGTGGCCACCGATTTCCAGCCCAACTCGGCCCGAAACTCCATCATGTCTGCGGCATCCCTCCTGTCAACCAAAGGGAAGAGAAAAACACATGTGGGACCATGGCAGCTGGGACGAACACTGGGGAAAGGGGCCACTGGACGGGTTCGACTGGCGAAGCATGCTGTCACTGGACACACAGCGGCTATCAAGATTGTTTCAAAAAAGTCAGCTGCTATGGTTCAGAGTGAGAGTATCGCGGCAATGGACCGTAATATGGGAAACTTCCCTAGCAACCCAGCCACCCGACAAATGCCTTGTGGTATTGAACGTGAAGTAGTCATCATGAAGTTGATTGAGCATCCGAATGTGATCAGTCTCTATGATGTTTGGGAAAACCGAGGAGAATTGTTTGTCCCCACCATATTTGGAAATGAAAAAAACACTAACAATATACCTAGGTACCTTGTCCTTGAACACGTCGAGGGTGGAGAGTTGTTCGACTATGTATCAAAGAATGGACCACTACCCGAAGAAGAGGCCGTGCGACTGTTCCGACAGATCATTGCGGCCCTTGGGTATTGCCATCGTTTCAATATCTGCCACCGTGATTTGAAGCCCGAAAACATCTTGCTTGATTCAAACCATAATGTCAAGCTTGCTGATTTTGGTATGGCCGCGCTGCAACCTGCAGGGCACTGGTTGAACACTTCATGTGGTAGCCCTCATTACGCAGCACCGGAAATCATTTATGGTCGAAAGTATCGTGGCGACAGAGCTGATATGTGGAGCTGTGGTATTATTCTCTACGCACTTTTGACTGGTTACTTGCCTTTTGATGGAGGGGATTTGGGAAACACCCTGCGACTTGTGAAGAAAGGAGACTACATCATTCCTTCCGAGTTGAGTGATGAGGCAGCCGATCTCATCCAGCGTATCCTCCAAAAGCGCCCGGAGGATCGGATATCTATGAAAAACATTTGGCTGCACCCGTTGTTAACCAAATATGAAAAGCTTCACAATGCCATGGTCGATCACTACGTTGGCCCTCCTCCCGCCCTGTCTATGAAAGACTGCGGCCAAACCCTGTCCTGTCAACAGGACATCGATCTGGATATCCTTCGCAATTTGCAGACCTTGTGGCATGATGTTAAGGCTGAGGACCTGATTCAAAGGCTTCTATGCATCGAGTAAGTACCACCTGCTCATTATTGATATAAGTTACATGATGCTAACAAAACCCTCTCAGACCGACCCACGAGCGAATGTTCTACAACGCCTTGGCAAAATTTCGCGACGAGCAGTTGGAGAATTACCAAGGACAGCCTCTGGAATACTCAGCTAGTGACTATCACCACATCTCCCGCACCGGTGGTAGAGTTCGTCGAGGCCGCAGTCAGACGGGCCAGGGTAGTTCCAAGCGTCGCGCTCAGTGCCCATCTATTAAAGAGTTCCCTCGTCGTCTCAGCTCCTTCAAGGAACCGATGTCCTCCGGTACTATGGAGACCTATGACCCTTACCGGTCACCCAAGCACAGCAGCACGGCATCAGAAGCCCAGTATGCCCATATTACTACCCACCAGGAGTTGTCAGAGCAATCTGAGGCTATGCTATCGTCACCAAGGGTGAAGCCTCCCCCTTCAATTGCGGAAGAGGAAGAGCCAGAGGAATTGGATGGGGCGGATGGCTCACCATTCACTGTTCTCCAGAAGCGCAAGCACGGGCCCAGCTCCATGAAGTCTTTCGTCTCTTCCAAGGTACCTCATTCCAGCTCCCGCGCCCCTGGAATGCCGACACATTCCATGAGCTATCGTCGCAACGTTTCCTTCCATCACGCTCGCAACCGCTCTCATGGATCTACAAGTGGCAAATCCAAGAAGAGAAAGATTGCCCCACCAAATCAGAAGAATGAGATTAAGAGGTCACCAAGCATCTGCAGCTTGCAACTTATGGGAGATGGCCTCGATCTCCTGGACATGCCGAGTAGCCCACCACTACCAGCACAGCCAACCGTGGTGCGAGCGAATGGTCCGAAGGTGAAAAGCATGGGGCAAGTCAGAAAAGTTCGCGATTCAGACTACACATGGAAGGAGGACACTCGAAAAGTCTCCCATGAGCTCAGCCAGATCTGTGAGGAGGCATTCAATGGAAGCTCTGTTACAACCATTCGCACTACGAGCGGTGGTTCTGGATATGAAACACCGGCAACTCCAGCCTCAATGGCAAGCCCTGAGCAAGTTCAAGTCACTTCGAAGATCACAGTGTCTAATACTTCCCAGGAGTTACCCCATTCTTACAATATCAAGGTGCTTACCGAGACCCGTCAGAAATTCATTGAGCACAGCCAAGGCCGAAATGATAACGTTCCTGCCTACCTTTCTGGTGTCATTTCTCATCTCGATCGCTTGATTGAGGAAGATCAGGCCCAGAATGGTACACGGCGACAGTTGGATGTAGCATCTTTCCAAGATCCTTTCGTCACTTCGCCGAACGAGGCTTTGCTCCCAGCTATCAAAGAGGATTTCGCAAGCCCTGTTCGCGGGCCCGGTGAGAAAAGCCCTCGACGTAAGCAGAAGCAACGGAATTTGCTCGCTACATCTCAGGAGGGCGATGCTAAGGCAACTATTCGGATGGTCCCCCACAGCTCACTCTCCTGTATGGAGGAAGTTAAGCCCCTGACCATTAGGAAAAAGAACTCCAGTAAATTCGTTTCATCGGATGTTTATGAATTTGCTACCAGTGACTCTCCGGGCGGCGATCAGAACTATTCCATTGGATCACGACATGCTGGTCAACCTAGTGGGCTGGATCCCATTGAAGAAGTTCCTCTGTCCCCCAAGAAAGCAACAGGTCGGGGCCCCGAAGGGAAAAAATGGTCATGGTTCAAACATCGCCCTCAGGGCTCAGATAATCCTCCTGCTCTCCCACCTAAGGATAGCCATCTCATTATTCCCAGTGGAGGTACCACTGTGCACACCCCAATTACCCTCGAGCCTGCTTCTCCAAAAGCCGATAACACAGAGCGAGTTACAAGACGGAAGGCATCCATAGATCGCTTTGGGGGTGGCTTTTTCAAGAAACTTCTAACAAAAAAGTCCAACCAGAATATGCAAGAAGCTCCTGCTGGTAAGTGTGACATTGGCAACTTCTGTGTAATATTCTAACCAATCCATAGATAAGGAGAAATACATAGAAACGATGCCAACCAAGGATAATCGTCACTCTTCTCTGATGTGCAAGGGACTTGCAGACACCGACACTTCCATTGAAGCTGATGATTCGCCAAACCCATTCCGCCACAAGCGTCGCTCGATTGCCAATCACAATTGGTTTGCCCGGGTCTTCCAGATCAAACCTGCTACACAAGTCATTGCGTTGAATACATCAAAGGTCAAGGGACGCAAGGAACTCTACAAGCTCCTTCGCGAGTGGCGGGACTTCGGAATGGAGGATGTGTACCTGGACAAGACCAACAGCATCGTCCACGGTCGTGTCAGTGAGGCAAACTGTAAGTCACTCGTTTCATCCGATCTAGCACCCATCCTAATCACCCTTTAGTCCTCCACCTTCGAGAAGTTGAGTTCACTGCTGAATTCTACACTGTCCTTGAGCACGGCCACCAAGCCAACCTCAGCTTGGTCCGCTTCAAACAGGAGCGTGGCGCCGCTTCATCTTTCAATAAGGTCGTTGAGACTGTGCAGAGCACCCTCATGCGCCGTGGCATGGTTGTTGAGGACCCATCTCGTGCAAAGAAGATGTCGCGCGTTCTCGACTCTATCCCTAACCGCAAATAAGTTATTTCAACACCCATTTCTTTGATATCCCCTCAATCTCGCCCCCAAGGATCTTCTTCAAATACTGTCAGCCAACTATCGTCCTTCATTTCCCAACATTGCGCCCGCAAACTACCCCACGAGCATGCTGCGTTCCAGCCCTGCAAAAGCACTTCCTTTGCATCTCATATCGTCTGACCATTTACATCCACACTCATTTTCGTCTCATGCAAGACCCCAAAAATCACACTGGCCCAGTATTGCCGGCCACATCCATAATTTCATTTCTTTCTTCAATCATTTCTTGTCTGTCAACCGCTCTCTCTACTTGTTCATTATCTATTTCCCAAGTTTTTTCTTCTGAGTTCCTTTCCAATTCGCCAATCCCAGCAGATCCTCTAGTCCTTTGCTTTTCTCTCTTCATTTCCTGGTTTTGGCACCTCAATAACTTGGCATAATGCTTAATTTCGGCGCCTGAGAAATTTGTACCCCACCTATGTCCCCGCTGTTCTAAATCATCGAAGCCTTGAATATGTCCATGTACTTAAATAGTGCCATCAAAGCATCTGTGCTAGTACTTTCCGTCCGCTATCATCCCTGGTGTATACATAGTAGTCCTAAATCCTCCGTCCAAATTAGGGCAAGTCACGTGGTGGGTCTTCACATACCTATATGTCGGTACTTACATAGGTACATCTACCCCTGCCGGGTCTACAACGTACATACGTACATAAGCGGTCTAGGCAACGCTGGATGTCACAGGTGCATGAAGTAGCATGAAAAGAATGCAATACTCGAGCTCCATTATGCAGCCAAGATTCCCCCTTCGCAGGGGACAAGCCACCAATATTCCCGTTGTCTAAGACCTGGAAGGCATCCAACCCTTCTAACGGTCTTCAATAAGAAAACAGGATAAGCGGGAAGTAAGGGAACCCCAGAATACAGAGAAAACTAGGAATGCAGTCCAGATCGGATTTCAGATCGGGTCGGTTTAATCTGCAAAAGGGAGAGGAATACGGTATAATTCGCATATAATTTCATCAGAAAGCGCTCAGAGATACAAGATCCCAAGGTGGAATAGCATGCGGCAATAAGGGAATAGCAGAAAGAGTGATCAAACAACCTCCGGATATAAGTATAAGCAGATATTTGATAGCGAAAAGACAGGCAGTAGCAAAAGGAGACAACAAATATAAGATCAAAACAGTTCCAACGATGATCAAGGCAAAGGGAAAAAAGATGACACAGCCGACCCACGTCTTTTAGTCGCGTAGGCGAAAAAACAGATGGCCACACACATACATCCGTAAAAGATGTAAAGTAGTAGTAAAGAGACGAATGCCTTCCCAGTAATGTAAAAATGTAGAACGAACCCGAGTAAAGGACAAAAGCCGACGGTGCAAAAACGCGATGAGTGAAAACGAGACAAATTGCGAAAAAAAACAGATAGCCACCCGAAAATCAAATAACAATGCGGACAATTGTCTGCGGCCCCGTAGTGAAATGGATTCCACGGAAAAGACAGCCGGACAGAGTGTGACCTGATAGCCCCGAATGCATTCATGCTAGACTCTCGTGATATGCGGGTTAAACCGGTTGAGGCTAGCATATAAACTGCATGCATTTTGGAAATGCCAAATCACTCTCTGAGCAAATCCAATTGAATTTGCAATTAGTCAGATATTGAAGCCGAGAAAGATAAAAAAAAAAAAAAATAGCGTAGTAAAAATTCATATGCCGATAAAACCAGAGCCCATAATTCTGGAAGTTTCAGTATCAAGTTCAAATTCGTGCTCGTGAAGCTCGTGGGTTCGCGTTTTGTGACTTTGCAAATAGACCAGAGTGTGACGTTCTTGTGTTGTTCATCCAGGTACTCGTCATCTGGAATGTGATTCCGAAGCTCCCCTTGCAGCCTAATTTTGGAGAGTCGGGTCCCACAGCGGCCCGACGAGACCTCAAATCTTGCTTTTGAATTCCAGCACTCGACACATGGCTCCCGGACCGTGTGGCCAGCACACGGTCCATTCCGAATGGTCCTCATTCCTCACCGATTCCGTATCGCATTTTTGGTGCGTTTTCCTAGTTTCCACTAGAATATCCAATAGCAAAAAAATTTACTATTGCGGGCCGCGGCGATTCAGCGCATTGAGCATGTCGCTATCGGTACTGGAGCGGCCTTGGGAATCGCCGGGGTTCAGCATATCGCGCACGTTCAATCCACCTCGTTGCGAGCCACCAGGGGTAGAAGTTGGCGGCGGTGTTACACCCCCTGGCTGAGGGGTACCACTTTGCTTGATTGGCACGCTACCCTGCTGGGCTGGGACTGGGGGTACGCTACCCTGGTGTGGAGTCATAGGCGCCTGGTGGGGCTGCATGGGTGGGAAGGGCGAGCCGTGAGGTGAGGAGGAGGGGCGTGCATCATAGTTATAAGCCGATGGCGGCGAGGTGCGTCGATCGTGAGCAGGCGGAGGGGGATATGCGTAAGGGCTCGGCGTAGTGTGAGTTTGGTATCCTGGAGCAGATCCGGCGGGTGTCACGGGAGCCAGATTGGTTGGATCGGGGTACTCAAATCCCGAGTTTGAGCCTCGACGGTGTCTCTAAGCATCAAAACATCAGCTCGGATTTCTTGCTCTTACCAGAGGGGGAATGGTGGCCTTACCGGATCGGGCATGGTTGACGCAAGGGGCAGCGGGGCACCATCCATGGGAGGTCGTCCGTTTTGATAGTACATCCCTTGGGGTGGCGGCAAGGTGGTCTCTGGGCCCTGTGGCTGCTGTTGAGGGGGCAGAGGCTGTCCATGGGCGCCATACAGGACAGGTGGTCCACCGCGGCCCCCTGGTCCTGGTCCATTCTGTCCAGGTCGTAGATGAGGGTAGGCGGTGTGTGCGGGCACAAAGGCCTGTGTTTGCGAAGAGACCGGAGTGAACATGCAGTCTTGGTTGAATCGAACACAGTTGCTGCACCGTCCATCTGCGGAAGTCTCAAATCCCGAGCAACGAATCTATCGGGGTAAAAATTAGCGCGTAATTCGTAGATGGGAAAGGAATCTCCCGTACCTTCCGGCGCCGACAGTACCGACATGCAATGGCTGTTCGCTGTCGCGGAGCTGCTGCTTGGTAAGGCCCTTGTCCTGCTTGGGGTCCATATGCATCGGCGCGATAAGGACCCGGCGGAGGTGGGAGACGGTAGGGATCTTGCGCTCCGTGGATAGCGTTCATGGCTTGTGGATGCGGGTATCTTGGATCCGGATACTGCGCCGGGGAATATTGTGATGGGGCGTACTGCGGAGGAGGAGGATACTGCGATGGCGCGTATTGTGCGGGAGGGGGATATTGATAGGCACGGTCCTGGTCAGGTGGCGGAGGGTAGGAAGTCGGCGGATACTATAAAGCTATCAGCAACCGGAGCCGCAATATCACAGCTTGTGAACTGATTCCAAAACAGCACATACTGGATAGGAAGCCTGATCATCCGGGTTGTTCCACTGAGTGGCTCTAGGATCTCGAGGATCTCTTGTATCTCTAGGATCTCTGTCTCGAGGATCCCGATTTGGATCACCCTGACGGTTAGGGTCGTGATCGTTGGGAAGGCCCGACATTTGTGTTGTTGGGAGGGGGAAGTAAGACGAGATGAGTCAAGGATGCAGGGATGTGACGTTCGAGTTATTGAAAAGGGGAGTTCGAATCACACGGACAAAGTGAGCATAGCGCGGTCACGCAGGGGAAGGGGAAGAAAGGGCAGATGCAGGAAGATCCCAAACAGAAAAAGGAAATAGGAAATAGGGAAGAAGGAAAAAAAAAATAAGAAAAAAAAGAAAAAAAAGACGATTATGACGTGAGCAGGAGCAGGTATAAGGAAGTTGAAAAAAACCCCACGAGATAAGCAGAGAGAAGAAAAGAAGCTCAGATCGGAATGGGATAAAGAAATAAAAGGAAATAAAAGGAAAGGAATTATTTGATTGGAAAAGCACAGGGGAATTTTTAGAGAACGGGGTGGAGCCCGGGCAGCGCGGGCTAAAGCGGCGCCAGTGACCCATAGACATGGAGGGGGGATTACTGTATGTGTATCTATACGGATTGTAACAACCTCGAGTCGAATTGCATACATCAAGTATGATCTTACATTACGCTTTCAATTCGTCAGGTGAAACATTCCAAGGTTGGAGACCAAGGCCTTGAACCATGGATTTTAATCTAGCGTACCAGACTTTGGTATGAAGCCGAGAACGGCGACCGCTTTTATTTTATTTTTATTTTATTTTATTTTTTTCAACTAGCAGTAGCGCCCGAGAGTAACTTTCCACGTTTTTTCGCCACTCTACAATTGCTTGGAAGAACATACAGAATGATAATAGAGCTCTACAGAATGATACAACTGTCAAAGTTGACATCATCAGTGTGGCAGGTGACCTCTCATTTTACATGGATCAGTCCATGCACGCAATTCCTCCGAGTGACCCTTGCTGCGTAACCGGCCATGGACGAACGACCGCGTCGGACCGTAGTCGCACAACCGCAACCGGCCCCGCGGAACCAGGATCATTTTCCATGGCGATGGGCTCGGGTCGGGGCGACACATTCCCATGCATATCGGGGTTGGTTTGATGGTATTATTATTATTATTATTATTATTATTTTTTAAATTCCAACTATTTAATTGATATTATCATCTATAATATTGGCGATTTTCTTACCTTAACCAGGACTACCTAGTCCATCAAAGTACATGAAACTACTGCATGCCGGTACTATGAAAGAAAAATTCAAGCGGTGAAAGTGTGGCGATCAGACTTCAGCTGAGGGAGTGGGGTACAGCTGGACCACTCGCCACTCTTTAACACGAAGGAGCATCCATAGGAATACAATAGTTGGATATGGAAATCTGGCGCGAAGTATGAAGGACGGAGAAAAAATGTGGCGATAGCGGATCCATTTTTTTTAATGACTGAAACGAACCAGGCTTTGGAAGGAAAGAGGGAGAGAAGACAGAATGAGGTGGAGTGCCCTAAGTTCCCAGGGCTGTAGCACTGGATCCGGAAAGCCCATAATGAGCCAAGGTAACCTGCATTAGCGCTGCGCTGACAGGGCGGGTTCCTTGTCCAAGAGCCACAACCACGTTGTACGGGGGGGGCCATTTAGCGTACGCCCGTCACCGCCAATCCCTGTGAAGTTTTCGGCCCAATTCCTCTAGAATATGGAGAGAATGTGGGTTTGAGATATATGAATAATGGCAGAGAGTCATGAGGACGGAAGAAAAAAAAATAGTCCACACTCGCAACCATGGATTGAATAATATATCGAGTAAATTGTAATAATACGAGTACTATTGCCAGGATTAATCAATCAAGTTTCGGGGTACTTGTCCCACGGGCCGCTCCGGCCTTCCCGCCGATCTATGCATGTGTGCCATCTGACAAAAATACCTCGGTTGTTACAGTACAGTATTTTGTCTCGAGAGCACATATGTCTTCTAGTCCATCCTAGAATTTATTCTAGTTCTCTTAGATCCTTTCATTGTATGATATGATTATAGGAAAACCATATTAAAATAGGTACATGTATGTGGTGATCGGTTCAAGTTTCCGTTTTCATAAATACTACATAGTATGCACTATCCGTAATACGGAGTAAAATGGAGTACCAATATAAAACAATTCAGGCCACGTTTTTCGAACCCAATCGACTGCATTGCCGTCCGCGTCTTTCCGTTCCCCACTCTCTGGCGTGGCCTGTTCAGCTTTGTCCCCTCTAGCGTACTCTCCGGAGACACTCCATGATCCACCCGATCCAAAGACGCTGGCCACTCGATACTGTTTGTCCTGGGGACGCGCTAGTTGTCCTCAAAACTAGTCCTTTCGACAGGGACTGAGCGTTGGTTGTTGAAACTGAAAGCCCAACGCTAGGGGACCCATTCCGACCGGGCCTTTTTGCAGGCTGCGACGTTCCCTAAAGTTTTTATTTACATATAATATTTTGTACATTTTTCTCTCTCGTTTCAACTTTTCATTTAGTGTAATTTTTTTTAAAAGAAATTTAATCTCTTTTAGTCTTTTTTAGTTTTTTTTAGTTTTTGTTCCAATTTCTATTAGCCATACAACCCCCCTTTACCCACACGGGAGCGCGTCTATCAGCAAGGATGGAGACGGGTCGGGCACTAATAGGCGCAGCCCGCATGTCAGTACAGTCACGGGAACACAATATAGACCAATATAGTAATGGGAACGAAATAACAGGGCTAAGGTCTGTGCTGGGGATCTGACGTGGCGAGGGTTTTATTTTCCCCTGCACTGAGCCGGAACGAGGCAGTGCTTTCAGAGTCGGTGTACAACGAACTCGAACGTGCAGGTCGTGTGATGAGAGATGCCTGATGACTACCTGATCCTGGGAAAAGCATATGCGAGATCGGCAGGTCATTATTAGCCGAGCCTTTGGACTTTGTTTGCTCTTTTGTTCTTTTTCTCTTTGGTTGGAGTGAGTTTCTTACTTTTTAGCTCCTATATTATATGTGATTCGCGTAGTGGTCGCATCTGATTAGTGTTTTCCCACTTTGCCTATACCTCGCCAGTCACACAGGTGAAACCAAGACCAGGACTGCCATGCTGCATGCTAGACCTCCTCAACTCTATTCGGGCGCCATTCGGGAGACAAGCGAGTCAATCTCACCTTGCTTTTTCTGGATGCTTGCCAAGTGGTTTCTCGGGATCGTGCGTGGAGCTAGTGACTTTGACATATTTACTCCGTAATTAATGTGCGGCTTAACCGATCTTTTTTTGCTTTTTCATGTACCTTTTGCTTATTTGGGCTTGCTTTTGACTTTTCACATTTGAAACTGCCTAGTTGCTATTTGGTTAGATTGGATTGTGTGTTGTGATCTGCATACAAATGCACCTAGGGTATCGGTATCACCAACCTAACTCGACTGCGGGTGCCTCATAAAATTGACCGGCTCTCTCAAGGTTTTAAAGGTCGATCCCCGCACGCCCAGGCGTCTACCTTGATCCCTGTCTTTAGGTTGATTGGCTGTCC